TTCGGAAGCATGTATGCAACGATGGATAGGTATCCATATGTTGTGTTGGTGTTGCACGACACAGAACAGAACAGAACAGAACAGAACAGAACAGAAGCATGTGCTGTAATATGTTGGTGTACGTTGATCATCAGTTGGGTCTTGTCCTTCTACAAACTTTCATTTTTCTAACTAATAAAGAGAGATTCACACTCAATTGCCGGCCGGTCGGTCGGTCGAAGCAGACAAACAAAAGTGGGAGAGAGGGTTTCTTTTAATCTCCTCCTGTTGCGAGCTTTAATTAGTTTGTTCCCTGCAAATTTAGGTGCGTGTGTTGTGTTTATCATATGCATGCTAACGTACGTGCATATATATGATTGCTCCACCAGGCCAACACGCGTGCAGTTTTCAGCCACAATTCGATCGGTACTGGAGAAGATGCTGGGCTGGCAGTTAGTTGGCACAGAGAGGGTATATTAATTAAAAACGATGATTACTACTTAATCTGCTGCTTAGTAGCTATCTAATTCATCCAGCCGCCATTCCACGCCATGTTCCTTGCCAAAATATCAACTCTGATACGTAACATGCATGTATAGCCATATCATGAATAGTTTAGAGCTCATTTACACTACAAAATTTAGAAGGTTTGGGGACAAACATAAGGGACAGCAAATTTAATTGTATCCGGGAATGAAAGTTTTAGTGACATAGAGGACGAATTCTCAAAATTGTCCCCAAAGACCAACAAGGAGCATAAATTATATTGGCATTCTTATTTTAGTCGTCCCCACATATAGGCGGGATAAAAATCCCTTACTGATCACGGCCCATAGTGGGAAATGCAGCCTACTTTTGTTGTTTTTGAGATTTAAAAATTGTCCAACTTTTGGAAATTGATTTTTGGCTATTGAATAGGATAAATATAATTTATTAGTCAAATTTTTTAAATTTTTTAAATTATTAACCAAATCATCTAAAATATATATTAGTCAAATGTTAACTTATTATTAGCAGTTTGTTAGTAATATTGACTTGACAATATGATACTGACTTGGAAGAGACATGGTGATCAACAATCCAAAGTTTTACTATTTTAACAAAGTAAAGAGTTACAAAATTACTAACGGTAACAAACAAATGGCTAATATTTTGTATTTCGAAAGATTTGGCTACTAATTTGAACAGTTTGAAAGATTTGACTAATAATTTGTATTTGCCCTACTAACTAAAAAAATGAGAGACATGGACCTAATTAGAGTTTAACCTTTCATTATATTGACCGACTAATAAATTGTATTTACCCTATAAACTACATAGGTGATGATTCATCCTGAATACACCACTTAAGGGACAACTAGTAATCCCTACAAGCTATATAATTGACAATTCTACAAGCTATATAATTGACAATTAGTTATCACATAATACACAATTTAAGGGACAACTAGTTGTCCCTACGAGTTACATTGGGGACAATTACTCCTCCCCGAAGATCGTCCAAGAGAAAATGGTCATCGCTGCAAGTGATATAAGGGACAATTATTCATCCCCGCTAAGAAGCAACTGGTCACTACAGTTTACATAAGGGACAATTAGTCACTCACTTTGAAATTACAGGCTAGGGATAATGAATGCCCTACAAGATACATAGAGAACATTTCCTCATCTCTGATGACACAAATTAGGAATCACTAGTCTACCATTTCATCAATCATTTTATCAATTTATAGGGGTAGGTATCGGTTGATTCGGTCAAGAACCAATCGAATCAAAATAGGGTCGGATCAAAACCAAATGAAAATTGAGGACTAGACCCATATCAAAAGTGTGTTTGGTTCATTTTGCTTGATTTGGTGCAATCCAAATTCAATTTCAATCCACTTTAATTTCCTTCATATTTAAGATAATTCCTTGAATCGAAACCAATCAAAATATATTCAATCCGATTTGATTCGATCGTGATATCGATTCGGTACAATTTGTTTCGATGTAGACCGAATCGTTGTCCACTCCTATTTGTGTCACAAGTTTTCTAACTATTAGTAAAAATGAAAATGCCTGCTCCTTTAAGATCTTATTATTTACTATTTAGATATAGCAATAAACTTATTTATTTTACATAAGAGATTGAAGTGAACACTATATCATAATTGTATCGGAAAAAGTATATACTAAACGTAGAGTTTTTTTCCAAGTACTAAACTTAGAGTTTAAACAGATATATATTAGTCTTTGTCAAATCTAAACAACAGAATGCAAATCAATTCCGTGGACAAATAAGATAGGGGTGAAAATAGTTATCATCTTAGCCGTTTATTTTTATAGATCAAATCTCAAACGTTACTTGGAATAACAACAGAAACCCTAGCTGAACATATATCATTCTCTCCGCCGACTGCCGAGTGGTCTTTATTCCTTTTCTTTTCTTCACCCAGTGCGTTTCTGGATCGATGGACATCTCTCCCTCCCTAGCTAGCGGAGCTCCTTTCTCCGCTCCAGCAATGGACGCCCGGCAATGGTAGGATTTCGATTAGTTCCTTATTTTTACTAATATGTTTGTCTTCAATTCAATATAAGTTTTAGATGTATTCTTCTTCGACATGGTCTCTTTTGATTTATCTCCTAGACTTGGCGATGACGATGACGATGGTGATGTTGTGGATGTTGTCTGGGCGACGTTACGATGTAGTGGTACCTGATTACATGTGGTGGCTACGCATGGTGGCTGCATTTAGGTGAGACGGTGGACTGAGAATGATAGCACAATCCAGCGGCAAGATGTTTATGGTGATGATTTTTTGTGTATTTGTATGTATCGTTTTATTGGTTATTGTAGAAACAATTCGACTGTATGTTTATTGTTATCCCATTATCAAATCAATTTTATCTCTATTTTGATCAATCTTGTTCTGATGGTGTGTGCTTTATACCAATGGCTTCTACAAGCGAAATATGACATACTTGCAAAAGTATTAACCACTTAATATTTCAAGTGGGCTTAATAATTAACCCGTTACAACAAAATTACTAAATCATTTTCAGTTGCAAAATCATCCCTAATATATGCAATTTAATTTATCAATTTCCAAGTTTCAACTTAAGAGACAATTGTTCGTCCCTAAAAATCACAATTGTGATAGTTTGTCGTCTCTGCAAATATAGTATAAGGGACGGTTCGTTGTCCTCAAGTAAAACTTTTAAAGACGATTTGTAGACTCTGGGACGACATGTCGACCCTATAAATAAAAAAAGGGACGATATAGTATCCCCATATAGACACAACACTGTTTTGAAATGTATTATAGGGGACAATATTTTGTTCCTAGAAATATTGTTTAGGGGACAATTTATTGTCGTTAAAGTCATGGTTATAGGGATGACATGTTGTCTTCTATGGAATAGAAACAAGACTACGACTCGTGATTATTGGGGACGACTGTCGTCCCTAATATTGGGGACGACCTAACTTTTTGTCGTCCCCAAAAGAATAGAGGACAAGAGTATAGGGAACCACACATTGGGGACGACTAAGTTATCCTCAGAAACTATGGGGACGATTTCTTCTATTTACGGGGACGATTTTTGTCATCCCCAAACCTACTCTTTTTTGTAGTGTTATATTTCGGCTTCCTGGTTGGAAAAACAAGATTATCATCTCAACATGTTAAAGAAATTCCAAGGGATTCTATCTCTACAACAACAATATGTAATAACACTGATTTAAGGGTTTTGTCTAGTAGTATTAATTATTACTACTAGTTTTGAAACTGGAGGTCTCAGTTTCGTAGTCCTACAGTACTACCTAGCTGTAAAAACTAACATGTGCTACAGAGTTTTATTGGCTGAAACACTCGCATTAAGGTTTTAACGGTTTCTAGTACATACACGATTAATAATTTATAAATACGGTAGGTTGATTTTCTGCAAATTTCGATATTTGGATATTTCTAAGATAATCTCCGCATATAGAAGTAATCCTAAGGGATTCATGTACTTTGAATTTCACTTGATAAGTTTGAGTGATTGAACTTAGCTAATTATATAATTTTACAAATATTGGTCAATTGTCACCTCTAACAAACGACAAAATTACTATTAACATCAATACAACATTGTTTCAATGCTTAAAGTTACAATTATGGATGGGAACTGAGCTAATGCTTAACTACTAAACAAAGTCTTTTGTCTTCTACTCTTTTTTTCCATCGATGCTTAACACATGTTTATGTCATATCCCAAGGCCATTAAGAAAAGAGAAAGTACATGTAATCCTCACTGGCCCAAAATCTTGCCAGAAAAGAACATTTAACCCAAGATGACTGAAAGGGTTCGTAGCCCTTGGCCTTGGGGGAGCATAGCCCAAAGGCCCTGTCTACTCTATCTCCCTAAAGCAATGTGCCTCTTTGGGCTCAACTCTCAGCCCAATCAGCTCCATTAACACAACCACTAATGAGTTTTGGATTCTTATGGTACGACTCCACTAGATTTCTTAAAACTGGATTAATTATTTAAAAATGAAGTGATACATGCATTAGCAAACCTCTATAGTATAATATATCAACACTAAACCACTGCCCAAAATGGCAAACCGACAGTATTAGAAATCTAGGCAATCAAATTATGGATCCGGCCGGCCGGTGGACTTTTCATCCGTAGATACTCCAATTTCAGACGAATAAATATGAGGTCACTAAACGTTGTGATCATTGTTGAACTAACATATGACTTTAACTTATCAACAAAGTACTGACCGGTGGAAAGTAACACAATGTTTACTTTATCTGTCTCTCCTAGATTCTCCGTCTGGATAGACTGGATTGTCTGCTTGAAACATATCAAACTCATCCATATTCCAAAATCCAAGCTTCAATGATGAATTCTATAAAATTGAGAATTTGATGACCGATTTGTTAGCCACTAAAAAGTTAGGTAGCATTGATGTAGTTGACCCTTCCCAGCCCAGTTTCGGGGAAATCTGTGGACTGTGGGTTATCGTTTTGCCGAGAGAGAGAGAGAGAGAGAGAGAGAGAGAGAGAGAAGGAAGAAAACTGTTGAGCCGAAAATGGAAAGAAGAGGAAAGGAACAAAACCATGGGCAAATCCTCTGGCGACCGCAAAACCAAAACCGGCTGCTCCCTCCGCCACCATCTCCTCCTTCTTCTGTATATTACTTTCCTTCCTCCGCTGACCACCTCCTTCTTATCCATCCCCACTCCTTATCTCAAAACCCTGCACTGCTTCCGACACCGCCGCCTTCGTTTGATCTCCATATCTTGAACCTATTCATCGTCTCCGGGTAGCTAGCTGTTTCCTCTTCTGGGATAACTGAGTGAAAAAGGCTTGCTTTTCAACAAAAGCAGTCCTCTGCGGCATTTCGTCGAACACCCTGTTCCGCTCATCATTTCTCCAGCTGGGTATGTACCAGATATTATTTCCCCCTCATAAAATTTCACTCTTTATCTCCTTTGAGGCCAAAAGGTACATTGTAATTCTGCTGTTTCCCTTTTCAATCTGATGTGCATAGAGCAAAAGAAAGAGAAGATATTTAATTAATTAGAAGCAAAAAAAAGAGAGCTGCAAACTGCCGCCGCTGAAACCTTTGCTTGCTTTCTTTTCCTAGTGTTGAATGGAGCAACAACAGAATGGTTTACCAGGTGGGTTGTTTTCAGGAGGGATGGCATCTACAGGAATGCTACAGGGTCTAGAATTTCCGCTCCACCCGCAACAACCAAACCCTCAAAACAATCCCCAGCCAAACTTACAGCAGCATAGCTCACACCACCACCACCACCACCATCCTCAAATTGTGGCTTCTGCTTTTACCGCTCCCCACCAACTCCAACCAGTCAAACAAAACAACCCATACCCACCTCCTCAATTCACCACCTCAAAGCCCAAATCCCCGCTAACCGACGACGAGGATGCAGGCGGAGAAGACCCTCTCTCTGGTGGGGATCCCAAGCGAAAGATGTCACCTTGGCACAGAATGAAGTGGACTGACAGCATGGTAAGGCTTCTAATCATGGCCGTGTACTATATAGGCGATGAAGTTGGTTCAGAACCCAGCGAACCAGCCCCAACAACATCGAAGAAGAAGGCAGGAGGAGCCCAAGGAGGGTTGTCTCAGAAGAAAGGGAAATGGAAGTCTGTCTCAAGAGCCATGATGGAGAAGGGCTACTATGTATCGCCACAGCAATGCGAGGACAAATTCAACGACTTGAACAAGAGGTACAAAAGGGTCAATGATATCCTCGGCAGAGGAACAGCTTGCAAGGTTGTGGAGAATCAGTCTTTACTCGAGACAATGGATTTGTCTCCCAAGATGAAAGATGAAGTGAAGAAATTGCTCAGCTCCAAGCACTTGTTCTTCAGGGAAATGTGTGCTTACCACAACAGCTGTGGCCATGGCAACGAGGTCGTTGCTCATGCAGCTCCACCACCAAACCCTCAATTGCAGCAGCAGCAGCAGCAGAAGTGCGCCCATTCTGAGAACAGTGGCCACGGGCCAGCACCCAATTCCCATGAAGATGATGACGAGGATAGTGATGATGATGATGATGATGACGACGACGAATACAATGAGGAAGAAGAATTCGAGCATAGCAGCCATGGACATGGTCAAGAAGAAGGAGATGACGAGGTTCGTGATCAAGAGCTGCGGCATAAAAAGGCAAAAAGGAAGGGGGAGGAGATGATGATGACGACCTCGGCTTCAATGAGGGAATTCGGTGGGGAATTGGCAAGCGTGGTGCAGGACGGAGGGAGGAGTGCGTGGGAGAAGCTGCAGTGGACGAAGGCGAGGATGGTGGAGCTGGAAGAGCAGAGAATTGGGTATCAGGCGCAGGCATTAGAGATAGAGAAGCAGAAGCTGAAGTGGGTTAAGTTTGCTGGGAAGAAAGAGAGGGAGATGGAGAGGGTTAAAATAGAGAACGAGAGGAAGAAGATTGAGAATGAGAGGATGGTTTTGCTTATAAGAAGGAAAGAGCTTGAATTGCTTGATGTTCAACACCAACAGCAACATCAGCAGCAAGTTTGTTCGAGCAGGAGGAGCGATCCCTCCTCGTTTGCTGGGTGAATGAACACATTGCAGACTGTCACAATAGGTTGCTTAGGATAATCTTACTTTTGGTTTATGATAGTGATAAATGTTTTGAATAAGAGAAAATATGGCTGATTGTTGGTTATTTTGAACATAAAATCGTCTGTCAAATGAAACTCAAAGAGGGAGGGAAAAAATGAATTTACACACCTGGTGGGACTCGAACCCACAATCGTTTGATTAGAAGTCAAACGCCTTATCCATTAGGCCACAGGTGCCTGTTGACCTTTTTTATTACAATTCAATTTTTAAATTCAATTATATGAAGTCATTATGTGTGTTAACATTACAAACTATCCACTAGTCCATCTAGGAGTACAATATTTTTGGCGCATGGATCCGCTTGGGATTGTCGAAATGAATTTAATTTGTGCTCTGTGTTAACTAAAATGATAACAACATAGCAATTAACATTCTTTGTTGCTAAGCATGTTTAAAGAAGAATTAGCATTTATACCCATTTAGATACTTCGACGGCTACTATGCATAAAACAATGAAACTTTTTCACAGCCACTAAGTCAAGATCTCACCAATTTCCCCCTACCATTAGTTTATAAGCTGAACTAAAACAGATTGCTCAGTGTATTTTGTTTCCTTGATACAATCTCAAAACCAAGAATCAAAATACTCCCAAAAAAACTGGAGGCTTTCACACCCTCCGCAGTGAGTGCGTAATAATATCATAAACCCTTGCCACCCACTTCCTTATATAGTCGGTCTTACATGTAGGGAGGGGGGAAAATCTTGCCAATTGTGTCTTCGCCTCTAATCTTCAAGCTCGATGATCTTAACCACCGACGCGTCTCCGACTTTCTGGCAGACGACTACTCTGTCGTGGGACTTGATCACGCCTGAGGCCTTCCCGTGGTCCAAAGCAACCTTCAGGACTGATTCATTTGTGGCACTCGTTGATTCAGCCTGGTCACAGAGATATGAAGCAGGTATGTCAGAGTTGTTAGTTTTTAAATTTGAAGATGGAACACACAAGTTTTGGAGCAGAAAACGTACGTGGTGTCTCGGATCAGCGAGCATTGGGAAGAGACCTCGAACTATAAGCGATTGCCTTGCCTGCAAGTGTACAAGATTACCTTAGGTTTCTACAACAGGCACATCAATGATTAAGGATTCATAGAAATGCTCTAAAAACCCATCTTTGTGCAAACTCTTTTTGCTAGTCATTGACAGCTGAATGGCTGGTAAACCCACTCTCTCTTGGGAGAAAGAGATATTATAGAGGATGGCCTTGGATTCCAGTTCAATAGTAGCTGAATGAAAATAATTATACCTCAAAAGCACCACTGAAACTCCACTTCAGTTGGTTTGTCTTGAGTCTGGGGATAACAACAGAGATGACTGGCATCGTTGGTCTATACTTGGCAATCAGTCTGCACACAATAACAGGATTTTCTAGTATGAATCACTATCCGACGCAGCACATTATCTTTTCCACAATTGTTAACAAGAAGAGGAAGAAAAAAAGACTTCAGCACTCGAGGAAAGTTGTATTAGGTACCTAGCGGCCCTTCCTGATGAAGTGAAACATATGATGACAGAGGCCTTCACCTTGATGGCTGCTCGAACCTGGATGAAACCAGAAAACAGGGATTAGGATTATTCTATTTTCAGGTATGTACTTGACAATCAGTCTAACAATCTATTCAATGAAAAATATTCAGAATAAGTGCATTACCGCAGAGGAGGCAATAGATTCTAAGTGAGTCATTGGCTCTCCAACATATTTGACAGTTTTCTTGAAATAGACATCCTGATTAAAAACCTTCTCTGCCTGCAAGAATTGACCAGCATAGCAAAAAGATTAAGCTCATAATGGAAGAAAGAAACATCACATCTATGATCAGGAAACCAAAAAGGTCTCCCGTGGATAACAAGCTTATAACTTTTGAGTCGCTACAACACAACCTAGTGATCTACAAGCTGCAAGATTCCAATGAAGTAGACAAAGATATGGATAGTTCATAATAAACATGAAAAAGTTAACCTCACAACAAATTCTGCCAACAGTAGAAATGGTTTCCACAGGATATATCCCACGAAGAGTTTCAGCACCAAGAAGAATTGCGTCACTCCCTACGCCAAGCAAAAAAATAATTGAAGTGCATATTCAGCAAACTTTAACACAAATATTATGTAGAAATCAAAATCAGAGATTCTGATTTCCGGTTTGGGAGTTCACCATCTAGAACAGCATTGGCAACATCAGTAGCTTCAGCACGAGTTGGCCTCAAATTGTTTGTCATAGTGTCTACAACACGGGTGACCACAGCAGGCTTGCCAGCCATGTTGCACTTGTAAAGGGCAGCTTTCTGAAACAAGAACACCTAGAAGAAACAAAAACAATATAAGCCAGCAACCAAGCACACAAAATACTTGGCAGTTTGGACACCACAAACTGATATAGTTCAGTTAAAGGAACTGCGATTTGTAAATTGGAAAAAAAAAATTGTAACCTTCTCAGGGGGCAGATCTATGCCCAGGTTCCCTCGGGAAAGAATAATGCCATCAGCCTCTTGTAATATCTCATCAAAATGCGTCAATCCCTACAAAGAAACAACAGTAAGGAAACATAAGCCCCACGTAAGAGAGTATTGCTGAAAACTAACCTAAGAAGCTAAATGCTGTATAATAGTTACCTCAACATTCTCAATCTTAGCGAAGATTTGAGTTTGGCTCAGGTCGCCTAGCTTAGAGAGGTATTCACGGGCCTGCATTACCATACAAGAAGCCAATTTTAAGAAAAAGGATAGCCAGTATAGGTTTTCAAGATAACCGTGAATTCAGTGATATGAATGCCTTATAAGAAGGCTTACCTGACGGACATCTTCGGCATGTCGGGTATAAGATAATGAAAGAAAGTCGATTTTATTTGGCACTCCCCAGGCACTAATAACCTAGAATGAGAAAAAAGAAAGCAAAAAAAAATGTTACTTCATAAAAAAACAAGAAGAGTAAAAAAGAAAATTATCATGGAAGAAAAGGAAAGGGAGCTCATTCAGCTCAAATTCGAAGGAGTAAAAGAACACTGACCTCCTTATCCTTTTCGGAAAGGGTAGGTAGTTCAATACGGATTTGAGAAGCATGTAGAGTGAACAACGACCCTGCCAATGTAGCGGTATTTTTAATCACACATACCACATCTTCTCCTTTGACCTCAGAAACCTGCACAATTCGAAAACGATTGCTGTCACTAGGAGTTCGATTATTCAGGAGACCTAGGTGTAACAACATATTTCTTCTCGAAGTAATTCTATCCACTTGGAAATGAAGAGCCACTGAAGCTTTATTGAAACAGCTGTTTCTGTATAGTCCAAATCTCACTTCGTCCTATGATAGCCAAATCAATACAGGGTTGTCTTGTACATTACCTCCAGCCACACAGAAGTAGTTTCACTGCCAGTGAAGAGATATTGACCAACAAATATGGTATCTCCAGGTTTCACAGCCTGGAAAGGAAAAATAGATCATCAGTCATCAGGTTCAGAAGGTGAAGAAAAATTCATGATATGAAATAAGCCCCTCTCAATTCAGAACAAGCAAATATGAGTTTCAATGACTATGAAACTGAAACTGGTCCTAAATTCATTGTAGTATGCCAACAGCATGAGCAAAGTCCCACAATGCTCACTACACTCACAACTGAAAATACGAATGAAGAGTGGCAAAAGGGAAAGGGGAAAAAATGGAGAAAAGGTTAGAACCTTGGCTAACCCATCAAAGTTAATGGGCAATATTTCTGATGAGGCATTCTGTTCCTTATCAGGTGTCAGGATGACAAGACCATCTTGCAGGAGTGAAATGGGTTGTTCACTTCTGTTAAGAACCTGCAACTCAGGACCCACCGTATCGAGCATAACCTGTATCACGGAGAGAATTCCTCAAATTATCATCTAGCACCATTCACCACTACCAAATACAACCATAAGGTAATCTCAAAACTACTAAGCAGAAGCAATCAAAATAGGCTAAAATCACAAACTAGCTGAAAACGGATCAAAATGTTTCATAGTAGCTACTATGAAAGAAGTGGCTAATCATCACTGCTTCGTTCTCAATTAAGCACCAAAAGGGGTGACCTTTTAGATTCTTAAAATCCATCTTCAAAAAAGTAGTACGAATGAATCCACAAACTAATCATCAACAAGGGGACACAATCAAAGGCAACAAACCGCGCAGAGCTTCCTGGTGCTCTTGATGGCAGCTTTCAGGTTCTCCAAAGTCTGCTGGTGATACTCAGCGTCGCCCCAGGAGAAATCGAATCGAGCCACTGCACCAGAAATGACAAAAAGAGATCCATTACCTCCGGAACGGAATCAAGTCCAAACGCAAGTAAATGGGGGAGCAAGCAGTAAAGTACCCGACATTCCAGCCGTGAGGCAGCCCGCAATCATCTCCGTCGATCGCGAGTTGGGGCCGAGAGTCCCAACAATCTTAGTCATTGCCGGGAAGAAGCTCTGCAAATTCAAAAGTCAGAAGAATTAAATCAAACAGTTGACGGGAAACTCATACCTGTAGTTGCCAGATCCGAATCAGCATCACCACAAACGAGCCATGGAGATTTGCAGGGCGGAAGGCGATTTTGAATTGCGAGAGAGAAGGGTACTCACAGACTTGGAAGACTCGAGGATTGACGCCATGCGAATGGGCTCCTCGAGAAGCAGGTGGCTGGAATGCATCTTGGCGGAGTTTGAGCGAGCCGGGAGAGAGCGATCGATATGCGAGGGGGAAAAGGGAGAAGAAGCAAGGAGAAGCGTGAAGCCGACGAAGGAAGGAGGAAGAAGAAGGGAAGTTTTTTTTGCCCTTTCGATCGAATTCCGGTTGCTGCCCTGCCCTGCCCTGCCCTCCTCAGAATATGCCCACTTTGGTCCTTTTTGTGTTTGCTGGATGGCCCTTGCCTTTTTGTTAGGTCGAGAGAGAAAAATAGTAATAAAACGACCGATAGAGAAACGGTGGGAAAAGGGGAAGCGGCCCGGTTCCTCTACACTACCGCCACGGAAGCTGTCTGTGTGCCTTTCTACTCAAGTTGCCCATAAATTGCCAATTCAAGGTTAAGTATGATAGCAAAGGTGAACCCAATTGTACTTGGATTCAGTGTTAGTCATTACAAATTTCAATTTTTTCAATATAAATCAAGTTAATTGTCCTTTTTATGTGTATTTAATCCCCCGAAAGATAGGTTGCATGTGAACCTTTCATACAATTGTCCTTTTTAATTGTAGCAGCTTGTACGTTCAATTTACAACGAGAAAGCACCGCTACAATCTCTTAAACGCACCAAAAATTAAGCACTGTGCCATGTGTCTGACAATGGCAACCTAGGTGCATGACCCCAAGAAGGATATAGCCATCAAAGGCTAACTTCAGGCCCTATAAGTTCATAGAAGGCAGTTCACACCTATAGAAGGCCTAATTGGTGAAGAATAACAACAAACGACCACATCTTACGACTCAAACGACACAAGTACACTTCACAGGAACGAAGGCTTAAACAAAATATGTAGCAAACTAGACAACTAGCTACCAAACTACACACTTTGTTGGGCCTGGACATCCAACAGAAACAAGTAATTAATGAACTTAACAAATAACTTACTACACTTAAGCCACCACTATTACGACAGTAAACAAAGTTATTCTCCTCGAGAAATAAATGAGATCAGACTCCGTCTAATTCAATCCTCAGTAGTAGCAAGCGACGGCGAGAGCGAGTTCCTCGACTCGTCGCAATCCTCCCCCAACGGCGACTGCTCCACCCGAATCTCCTCAATCATCCTCGCCACCTCCACCATCTCGGGCCTCTTCTCCGGCGCCGGGGCCACACAGGCGAGCGCCACGTGGAGCATCGACACCAGCTCCTCCTCGATGTTCTTGTACCTCAGCAGCTCCTGATCGAACACCTCCGCCGTCCACTCCTCCTTCACCACCGACCTCACCCACCTCGGCAGATCCCCTGCCCCCGCGGCCACCCCGTCCGTCACGAGTTCGTCGGGGTTTCTCCCGGTGAGGACTTCGAGGAGGAGGACGCCGAAGCTGTACACGTCGGACTTCTGGGACAGGCGTTTGGTCTCCACCTGCTCGGGAGCTCGGTACCCGCCCAGCCTGGCGACGGCGTGGACCGGGTTGAGGAGCAGGGAGAGGCCGAAATCGGCAATGCAAGCGATGCCGTTTTTGTCGAGGAGGACGTTGGATGATTTCACGTTGCCGTGGGGGATTCGAGCCGACCGGTATTCCTCGTGGATCTTGGCTAGCCCGCGGGCGGATCCGAGTACTAAGCTGATCCTCGTGGTCCAATCCAGTGGGATTCGGCCTGGTCCTCTGTTTCCTGATCAAATCGAAAACACCCAATTTGATCATCATCATCATCAACACAGTCTAGTCTGAATCTGAAGCAGAGAAAGTTGGTTTAGAGAACTACTAACCATGGAGAAGCCAGTGGAGGCTGCCATTGGGCATGAAATCGTACACCAGAAGCTTCTCTTCCTTAGCATAGTAATAAGCTCTGAACCTGACGATATTGGGATGCTTCAGCTTTCCGATCACTTCCATGTACTGCTCGAACTCCCTTCTCCCACAAGGATTCGCGTCCTTCAGCCGCTTCACGGCCACCGTCCACCCGCCGTCCAGCACTGCCTTGTACACCGTCCCCAAACTCCCCTTCCCCAGCATCTCCGCCGACGCCTTGAGCAAATCCTCCAATTCGAACGGCATGGGCTGATCCTTCCCGCCGTCATAGAACACCAGCTTGCTCCTCTCCGTGCCATCGCTCTCCGTTCCGCCGTAACTGCTCCTCCTTTTCACGCCGCCACCGCTCTCGATCTCGCTCCCCACCTTTGATGATCCCCCGTCTCCTACTCCGCCGCCACTGCCGCGGCCACAGCAGTAGGCGACCAGGAACGACGCCGCTACAAGGAATGTGACGCAGATGGCGATGATTATCGCCGCCATCGCGGCGGTGCCCAATCCTCTGTGCACCGGCCGCTGCGAAGTTTGGCTTTCCACGACGGGAGGGCTGTTCCATTGCGGAATCGTGGTTGGGTTCGAGGGCACCGTTTCGTCCCCTGGGAATCACACAGGTTAGAGATCATATACAACATTAAGTATATATATATATATAAAGTAAGGATTAATTCCTAAGAACTCCATTAACACCTGTAAATGAACACACGGGGAGCGAAGGACCGGATCCACAGAGCCCTTCGTTACCGAAGAACCCCCGGCGGCCGAATTTCTTCTCCAACCCACCGGGGACTCTTCCGTACAGCTCATTATTGGAGAGATTCAGCTCTTTCAATCCGGGGATCGAACCAGAGATGTCTGGAATTCGGCCGGTGAGCGCATTGTTCTGGAGCCGAAGAGTCAACAGCTTGGTCAAATTGCCAATTTCCGGAGGGATTGAACCGGCGAGGTTGTTGTCCGACAAGTCCAAGCGGAGGATTCGGTGGAGGGAGGAGATCGACGGAGGGATCTCGCCTGAGAAGTCGTTTCCGGCAAGGTAGAGGAGCTTGAGGTTGGAGCAGTTGGTGACCGGGGAAACAGTGCCATTGAGGCGGTTGTCGTGAAGGTCGAGGAGGCGGAGCTGGTCCAGGGAGGCGAGAGAGTTGATCGGACCGCGGAGGGAGAGAGAAGGGAGGGAGAGTGAGATGACGCGGCCTTTGTCGGCAGAGCAGCCTACGCCGAGCCAGGAGCAGGGGACGTTTGAGGTGGTGGTGGTGGTCCAGTTGGAGCGGAGGTTGCCGTGGGTGTCGGTTTGGAGGCGGAAGAGCGTTAGAGCTTCCGTGTCGTTAGCCGGAGGAGCTGCGGCTGAGATGGAGAAGAAGAGGAAGAAGAAGGAAATGGAGAGTTTCGGTTTCATGGCGGCGAGGACAGGGAGAGCTCTGCGGAGTGAGGCGGGAAGGAGTGTTGAAGAAGGGAGTGGTTTTGTTTTTAAAAAAAACACATATTTTCTTACTTAGCGATGGGGAAAAGCGGGGAAAAGAATAGGAATTTAAAAAAAAAAAATTTGAATGCTTAGAACGTTGAAATGATTGTTTTTTTCTTCTTTTTCTTCCTCTCTTTGCCGCTGAAATGATTCAACTTTTACGGAGATGTTACCTCAAACTTCTGTGATTAACATAATTTAACGGTGGAAGGGAGGGTTTAGTATGAATTAATAAGAATGAAGGGGTTGGTGATAGCTGCAATAATTTGCCTTAACCCTTCAATTTCTCCCATCTTACAATCAACTCTTAGTTGCTTACATAAGACCACAATTCCACTTGCCCTTTGTCTATTCACACTACATTGACATGAGCTTGTGTACGTACCCCGCTAAGAAAAACTACTTTAGTAAGTTCGGCGGACTAATTTAATATGCATTTCATGTATCGATAAATTCTATATCACCAATCACATTTGCTAAAATAAGAACATGCAATCTCCATTCTACCTAAAAAAATATATATGGCATCAGGACTCTTGGTTAAGTTAATAATGACAAGTGAATTGACTTATTGCACCAATTTATCATCGTGTTGCCATGTGTTGCTTTTGTGTCATTTAACTCTTATTGTTTGGTAGATATAAATGATATGGAGGGGGGAGCGGGGAAAGGCTTATTAGTTGGCTAGTGATGATGATGGATAAGGCCAATTGATTAAAGAAGGGAGTGTGGAGGAAAAAGTTCATAATTACAAATATGGGGGGTGAGGGGTTGGATTATAATAAAATTGGGGAGGTAAAAGTGAGGGAAATCTGCATGATTAAAGAGAAGACATGTACAATAGGGGGGATATGGTTGCTAGAATGATTGCTGTTCTCCACTTTGCTATTTGTAACTTTTCCCATTCCGCATGATAATAAGTAAGAAATTGGACAACCCCTTTTTACTATTCAACCTTTGTTCATCAATTTTCCCCTCTCCTTCTTGCCTATGCTTTCTGTTATAACTTATAACCATCAATCATGTCATGCATTGGTCTTCCTAATTCTAGAGTATTTATACACTATAAGCTTCCCACACAATAATTTTTGAATGAGTTTTTCAATTCATTAATTACTCAATTATATCTGAATAATGACATTCTTCAATAATACTACGATTCTTATATAAATATTTGTCTAACCACAATTTATCGACATAATTGCAACGTGATATTCATATGTTTCTACCTACTATACATTCTCTTGCATTTCCGCATACCCATATTAACCCACGGTTAAAATCCTAGCAAACAATTTAATTCCTTACCTCCTGCTTCTCGAGCTAACCCTTCTAGCTAGTACTTTTCATTTTTATTGGAGCTTGTGCTTTCTTTAGAGCTACTGAGCTAACATTCCTTTTATATTTTCTTCAAGTCTTACAAGATCCGAGGTCTTCAATCGGATCCAAGGCATGGATGTAACATTTACTCTCGTGTATTAGTTAAATTACATAGTAAGTATTTCTGCTAGATTATACTATTTAACTCGTTTGACCCTTGACAATTGACATATTAGGCTAGCCAGATCATGTCAAAGTTGTTATCTGTCTAGATACTCAGCTTTGCTTTCTTACCTATATTTATAAATAAATAAATAATTGAAAGGGAAAAACAAAGGGGGAAAAGTGAAAGGGAAAAGAAGAAAAATGGATAGAAGAGGAGAAAGGGAATGCATAACATAATGATTAGAGGCAATGGTCCCCCTTCATTCTAATATTATGGCATGCAAGGCTCTCCCAACTTTAAGTCATGAGGAAGCAAAAGGCAAAAAGCTGCTTGCTTTGCCGTTGCCAATGAAGTGAATGATCACCTCCCTCCCCCCAACCATCCTTAGTCTGTCTTCCCTATTTTGGTGATTACTTAATATTATCATACCACAGCCATGACTACTGAAACTATGGCTCATCAGTGGCTAATTAATACTCGAAATGTACGGGTTGAAATGCTCACCTAGGGAGAAGAAGCTAGCACCAAACTACTGCTTCAGCTCCAAGCTTGATTGAGCAGGGTGGGCATGACCCGATCCAGAATCGAATCTGATCCAATACAAATGAAAGAAATACAAACCAAAGCTGGTAAGTTATCTTGGGTAGCCATAAACATTTGCAATTTCAGAAACTGAAAACTTTAATCCCTCTAGTCTCCTATCACTTTGCTTCTTCCACCACAGTTCTTTATTTCCCTCCCCCGACAAGTACAAAGTGTCAAATAGAAGCAATCCAGCCTCCTAAGCTTTTTCTTCTGTGCATTTCTTTATGCATGCATTGTGCACAGTGGTGGAACAAGGGTAAGAGGAAAAGGAAAATAAGGGGGGGAAACAGAAAAGCATGGAAGAAGTGAATTTTGGTAACATGGAAATGGGGCATGGTTGTTGTGTGGGTGGAAGGCAATTTTTTGGTACCAACTTTCACAGTAAAACGATAACCAGATTCCTATGGGTGGGTTGTCTCTCTAAAGTGATGGACTTTGGAGAGTAAAATGAACAGTCATAATAATACCAAAGGACCAATCAGGAAGGGAAAAGTGATAAAGGGGGCTGAATGGAAAACGACATGAAATTGGTGGCGGGAATGGCGGTCTAAAATTTCTCTCTTATCAGTTTTCTTTCTTTTTTTTTTTCCTTGTCGGTCACTCAACAGGACAGAAAGGCTCAATGAGTTGACACGTTAAATAAACTCTTTTAGAAGCTTCCCTCTTGACTCCTTAACGAAATCCAGACACGGGCTAAAAGTGCATTAGTAATTTATTATACAGTGTACTTCAGTCTCCCACAGGGGATTATACAGAGACAGAATCCTAACATTTCCAGCTACAGAGATGGGGGAGGAATGGAGGAGCCGCATTGAAGCAGTAATATTTGAAGATTTTCGCTGGTGCTTGTTTGGCAGATGAATGCAAAAGGGTAAGGCACATGCGAAAATTGGAATCCATAATATATTTGCTCACATGGGAAGGGGAAATAGTGGGGGAATAATGGGGGATTAATCACAGTAGATTATGGAAATGAAAAGGATGCACTATCAAAGATCTAGGTCTTTAAAATGAAATTTGACTGTCTGCGTAGACGTAAATATTATGATTACACCTACTCAAATTAGATGTATTCGTTTCACCCAGACACAATTATACAATCAAGTTGGATCGCCTTAAAACAATCATCCCATTAAGGACATCTTAAAATCTATCTAGAGGACAGTTACCTCTGGCACATTAGACCAAGTATTTAACCAGTCAGATTAGGCGGGGAACTTCTATATAGAGGACAGCTGGTAACTAAGAATTATCAAAATGCATGAAATTCGATTGATTTTGGAAGATAACATTATATTATAATTTCGTGTAACGCTTAATATCATCTAAGATAAGTATGAACTACGATCACGATGAGACATTTGAAATAAATTAAAAACAGATCTTTGAGAAGTATCTTACCGGCCTGGCCATTGGCCAACCTAGGTTGGGCTGGTTACAACCGCTCTCTTCTGTCTTAATGGCGATTGGAACAGTTTCTGCAGCACAAGGAATAGGACATAGGGTACGAGGTTACACGGAAATCTGACATGTCTGAAGAACAAACAGCAACGTAAGATAAGAGGTGTGTAAGCCAAACATCAAATTCTCGTCGCCTCCAACACTTGCCTATTTCACGCTAGCTAGCCGCACCTATAGCTAATAGGGAAGGTCCCGTAGCCCACCAAACCTATCCTGCAAGCCAGTGGCGGAGGGAGGTAAGGAGGAGAGGGGTCCTAGGACCCCACTTGGCAAATAATTGGGCAACAAAACCCTTTAAATACATAGGTTTTAGTACGGTAATTCAAGTTTAGGACCCCATACTCTCAACGATGTTAGCTCACCAAGGACCCCGGTTAACTCAAAATTCATTAGCTACACAAGCATTTATGTTCGTAAAATTTTAAGGACCCCAGTGGACTCGATGTCTGGCTACGCCACTGCTGCAAGCAACATGCAAAACCAGATTAACATACCAGCCCTTGGGCAAAATCTGAAAACATTTGTGAAACAATTGCCAATTTTCACGGTATCGGTGGCTAAGGTTCATGCATCTCATCTCACAGCCATGTTAATGCAGAAAGAAAAACATGACACACAAAGGGAAACCAGGACATTGCATCTGCATGGGGGTTTGACCTCACGGGAAAAATATCAAACATGGAGAAAAAAAAAAAGAACTTTGCATTGCGTGTAGAAATGAGACATGAATGATCCTTTCTTGTCGAGGGTAGATAAATAGGCATGGCCTCTCTTCTAAAGGGTTCATTCAACATTCTAAAGCAACTTTCGAAATGGCTTTCTCGGTAAAGGGATTAGAGTGTGGTGGGATTTGCAAGATAATGAAGCTAAGGAAGATTTTTACCGACGTGTGCCAGAAGCATAAGCTTCCACGGGATGTGCCTCCTGGTCATTTGCCAGTGATGGTAGGGAAAGCTGGGAAGAGGATCGTCATAAGAGCAGATCATTTGAACCATCCAGTTCTCAGGCAGCTGCTGGACCAAGCGTACGAGGAGAATGGCTGGAATAACGACGGACTGTTGGCCATACCTTGCGATGAGCCTTCTTTTCGAGATATAATCCACTCGCTTACGGTTGGGGACGAGATATCCAGTTCTCGCACCAGACACCAGAGAAATCCAGGGGTCCAGATTTCAGACGGATTGGAGGCCTCTCCTTCATGATTCCAGTAAAAAAGGTGCCAATTTTCCTCCTGGAAGAGAGTAAGAAACTCAACGTCAGGTTGAATTTAGCAAACAAGTCTGGAAAAACGGGCATTTATGTTTAGCAGGATAAACTCTCTCCCACTATACACGACCTTCCCCTTGAATATGCAATGAGCATGTAGAAAACAAACTCAAGAATGCATGTGGGAAACAAAACGAGCTGTTAGAAGTTGGTATGTTCAGAAATTTCAACAGCTGAAGGTTCTGTGAAGACACTTTGTCAACATCTTTCGCATGCTGTGTATTACTAGAAAACATTATTTTGATTCAGTAGACAGAATCTTCCAAGGATTATAGTGAACCAATACATCGAAAGCAGTGTTAAGGAATGAAACTGATCCTGATGTTCATGTTTGTACAAGTGGACAGAGTGTTTTGAGCACTGGTATTTTCCACGGTAGAACTAAAATGCATTACTTCATATATTTCAAATGAGGACTACTTTCACCTAGCCATTATCACTTTAGCATATAGTTTCATAGGAATACCCGATTTGCAGCAGAACACAAATGAGGGATATGCCCACGGACATCCTTATTCTAAGAGGTTCCAAACCTTGTCAAGAATTCCACTAGACTAAAATATTTGTTTACCAAGCACACAGAACTTAATTATATTTATATCTAGTGACAACGTAAAGCAACTTACCTGGAGCGAGTTTTCAAAGGGAAGGGTGAGAAATTCAACTGTTGCAAACCACTCGACAAGTTTAAGCATGTACGATTAGCCTCTCCTCTGCGAAATATCAGCGTTGTCAAACCGAAGCAGCCATACCAACAATGCAGACCTTAGCTTGGTCCAGGGCAGGAAGGTTCAACATTGAACGTTTATTAGCACCTTTATTACTGAAATATTTGAGCACCAGAGCAAAAACTTCAAGCATCATATATAAAAGAGTTTGCCTTCATTTTCCATTTTAGGGTGATACAATAACCAACTTCAACTTACTCGTCCTGAGATATTCATGATGATGGTGATTGAAGATGGAGGCAGCCGCTATGTTAGTATACTCGTCAGACTCTAGCTCCACTAGGCTGAGGGCTAATCGAAACATAGTGCAGAAGACCACCTTCATTACCATGGTATTAGGAAGCAGCAGCATATATCGGATCACTCTATCAAACACTTTGATTTCTTTGTAACCCAGGAAATAATCCCCAAGACTAGTCGAAAGTCAATTGCTCCAACAAGGACATGGCAGGATCCAAGAGACAGAAGCTGGCTTACAATGTTCCTAATTTGAAACCCAATTTGGAGCGATGCCTCTTTAAACGAAGGACTGGTACATCGATCTTGCCACAAGCATGTCCACCTCCTGAAGAGGATACTGGTTTCAGCGATGGGTACAGGGTCGAGGAAGGAGATAATGTGATGCAGACTGGTCCCAGAACATGCCTCAGTCTATCGAATCCTTCAACAACAACAACATTCCTCTTTAACCTTCCAGCTGCTCCCATAATCCTCCTCTCCAAACTTCTGAACCCTACACCACCAATCGCCCTGGAAAAGAAAAGGAAGGCTTATCTGTCAGTTAATTGAGGTTATGACCAATACAAAAACAAACGAGCAGGGTGCATGGGCGCGCATCCTCGTACCAATATGAATTATCCTTCAAGTTCGTTCGCTCTACTTGATGAAGACCGTTTCCCCGTACGGAGGCGGAGCAGTTCTCTGTCAGCTCCGGCCGGCGCGCCGCGTGTTGTGTTTTTGCAAGGTGTGAGATGGAATACGAGCGGGGAAGAGAGGAAGGCGGAGGAAACTCAGGCGATCAAGAAATCACACGCCTGAAAATTGGGAAAACGGCGGTAAAAGGTCAGAAAACGCCAGGGAAAAGCGCGAAAAGGAAGGCCGAAACGGCGAAACGCGAAACGTTTCGGACCCTCAAAACCAAAATCGAAACGCGAGAAATTGACGAGAAATTGAAATTGACGATAAATTGACGAGAACTTGTAATTGGCGATATTTCGCGATATGGCAATAAATCGCGATATTTTCACGGTATTTTGGGTTTCCCCGATATTTTGAATTCCCCAGAAAAACTCAGCCGGTGAATAGCTAAGAAACAGAAAATTACAGGGTAAAACTTCCCAAACAGAATCATAAGAATCGAAAATATTGTGCCGACGCATTTTGGGAAAGAAAACAATACATTAGGAAGAATTTCATCGCTACAAATTGAACTGAAAATAAGAAAACCAGAAGGGAAACAGATACCTCACCTGCCGGCGATCCTTAACGACGCAGACTGCTGACGACGACGGACAAGCAGCTATTGCGGCTGCAGATTTCGAGAGAGAACTCAGAAATTGATCGATATCGATTCATCAATATTCAGTCATCATGGTGTATTGAGCAGCATGCAAACAAGCACAGATTTCAATTTTCACGTACTAACAAAGCTTGATTACCATGCAATTATGATGAATGCCGCCTATCATTTTTTTTTTTTTCCTTCAATAATGGAGATCCTGTCAAGGACATGGGTATCCAAGAGGTTCCAAACTTTGGCAAGAATTCCACTCGAAAGGGTATGAAACGTTTGTTTTGAAGCCATGCGTCGTGCTTTGAGCATCTTTCTGTCACTGAAGAGCTGGAAGAGCGCTTCTTGAAGTTCTTCCTTTCCAGACACCTGAAAAAGTGAAACAGGACAAAAACAGTCCACTTAAGGAACTAAAATGGTAGCACTGAGAAGGCTATGAATGGACCAGAGAAGTGAAGGGGGCATCGAAAACCTGCACAACTGAAAGAGGATCCAGTCGTTGCATTTCATTTATCATGTGTGAGAAGTGTCCGACATGAAAACCTGAAAGCAAAAGGATAGTAATGGGTTTTAGAAAGCATGGCATGAAGTCTGTATATAGCAGGAAAGACAGGGGTCAAGAGAGAGAGAGAAGAACAGTGACCAGTTAAAACAGCACAGCCAGCTGCGGCAGCTTCGGATATGTTGTGGCCAGCGAAACCAGGACAGAAGGAACCTCCAACTAAAGCTATTGGAGTTAGGCTATATAGATGCCTCAATTCACCTATTGAAGAAGTAAGAGAAAACGATTTAAGAACATTATGGAGAACATGAAAAATGGAGCTTGGGAGAGTTTAGAAGCAAACCTAAAGTGTCGACCACGTACACGAGTCCTCTAGCAGTGATCTTTTGCTTTCGAGACCTCAAGGCTACATGAAGTCCTTCTTTCTGCAATTCCTGCACATTTTCAAAACAAAACAAAACATTAAACGAGAAATTACTTGAGTTTATAATCAAACCAGTTTCACTAGAATCAGAATATGAAATCAAGACATCAAGTTCCTTCGATCCAAAGGATATCACGTTTTCCAATCTTACTATTTAGCTGTCAAGATGCTCGCATGTGGGTATATGCATGTGTCATGCTGCAAGATGTCAGCAATATGAACTAGTTGGAACATAAATGACAGAAATAGAAACAACCAACCATGGTGGCCTATCATCAATATGTGTCGACTGGGCTAAACAACTTGCTCATCAGGCCATTGTCTACATGCTCTTAAGGCAACAATCATGAACAACGCCTCTATTTATCTTTTAAATGGCGATCAATGCAACATTAGGAGATGTCTTCTACAACAGGTCTAACTCCTAAGTCCAGACATTTGAGTTAGATCAGACTTATCAGAAGGCATCAATTTACCAGGGGGAAATACAACAAGCATATGCATTAATATAGTTTAGACTCGAAACACCTAGCTTAGGGAAGAAAGATGGAACTGGAACTGGAACTGAAGTTCATACTTCAACAATATGGTGGGCAAGCTGTAGGTGGCGAGGGACAATAATAGTCACCAAGTCGGGATACCTTCGCACTAACAATCTGTGAACTGCTAAGATTACTGAAAAATGGCAGTAGTGAGTGCTTAGAAAGCCACAATAACTTAGGGCCACCAATACAAACAAAAGTAAATGAAATTTTGGCATTTTGTAGTGGAAATATTCTATGCCATGCGCCATCAAGCTGTAAGATAGACTCAGAGTTAAACTGTAATGAAAAAGACGTGACACATAGATAGACCAAGTCAGAAACCAGTGCAGCTTGGAACACACCTTGTTCTTCACCTCTATGAACTGATGCAGCCATCCATACATGCCTATCAGAGAGCTGCTCCTTCAAATCTTCAGTGCTTGCTATATTCCTCTTGGACATGTCATGTTCCACCACTGAAATAGAAATACCCTCACCTTTCCATCAGGGTGTATAGCCACCTCACTCTAACTTAGGAACCCCCAAAATATCATAAGAAAAGAGTCTAGATAAACTAAACCTAAGAAAAAATCAGATATCTAGTTCTCAGCCATGGGCAAAATCTATACTTATGCCTCACAACAACCAATATTGTGATGTGTGTGACCATTGACCAAACACAAAAAAAAATAGTAACCATACCTGTCAATCTTCATTTTTAGAGGAAGAACAATACCACGTTACTAGAGGATAACTGTAATAAACATACCGTATTTCAAATCACCAGCGAAATTTATGATTGAAGGTGGAGCTTGCAGAAGCTGGAAGCGTATTGCCTGAGTGGTACTCTATAAAAAAGGACACTGTCAGCATCAAGCACACCACAATGATAAAAGAAAAGAAGACACAATAGCCCGAGAATGTACCAATGGGATAATCAAAGCAAACTTGGATAGCATTAATGATATCAATGGAAGCGCCCATGCTGACCAAAATTTGAAGGACTTCACAGACATCCGAGCATTCAATAATGTAAGTGGAATCTGCAACATCATTCAATGGCGATAAGTCACTCCAACAAGGCATATAATCATGCATATTGCACAACCCCGCAAAAAAAGCTATCCCCTAAGGAAGCAGAACGATGAATAGCTTTCATTCATGAATTTCTCCCTCCTAATCTTTCACTTAAACTCCTCCAAAGTCCAAGCAAAGCCTAATTCACAATCCCAGTCAACTACCAATTCAATGTTGGAATACTTGATAGGTGAAACAATTACTATATCATAATTCACAGGGAAGAACCATGGCCTATGATGCACATGGATGGATAACTCATAACTTACACCCTTAGTTGAAGATGCCATGATCAGATTCGGCCAAAGCTCACTCTCCAATAAGATAACTGCACTTGGCTTCCAGTAGCAAAGGAAAGCATCAATGGCGGCCGGGGTATCCACAGGACAAAACTGGTTCAATCGGAAAAGGCTACAATTACTACCAATTTCACAGCACATACGGAGAATTCATAACTGCAGAAACATTAACTACTCAACCACTGAGGAATCAAGTAGTGAGGACGGGCGAACGAACCTGGTGTAGAACGCCACTCGGAAGATCATTCTCGAGCACCTTACTGCAGCAAGCAAACAAAACGAATGATATCCTCACCGCCATAGCAAAACAGTTTAACAACTGATGAATCCCGGAATTATTAGAATCTTACAAAGCGGACATCGTCGTCGTTGTCATCAGAATATTCAACCCAGGCCGCCGACGAGCGCACTGCCTGACGACCGGAATCGCAGCCATTCCTTCGCCTGGGAAATTTCACACATGCTCACATAATTAATCTTCCATTTCAAATTGTGAAATCGGCAAAACAATCGACTGTAGAAATTAAAATCACGGAGATTACCTAGGGAGACAGCGTGAAACCAGACGAGAGGACCAGGCGGCCGGGGGAGAGAAGGCCGGCCAATCCTCTCTTGCCACCGCGCCGGGTGCTCGAGGCAGCGGAAAACGCGCCACCGCAAGTGAAGCTGCAGAAGCGGCGACAGACCGCGTGTTAGCGCCCTGTAGACCTTGTAAATCATCAGTCCTTTGGTCGAGGCGACCATTTCTACCTCGCTCAGCTTCTCTACCCCTCCCGCAATTCTGCTGTTTAGTGGTAACTGTGTGTTGTCTGTTTGCTCCTCTCTGGCCTCTGCTTTCAGTTCAAACGAATTAATTCTCGGCAGCGGCGCCAGAGTCCCCAAAAAAATTGCCGCCGGATCTGGAACTGAAAAGTGAACGTCCACGAATGGGCCGCCTTCCCGTGGTCTGTTCAGTAAGCCCGAAGTGGCCCATTTGTTTTTTGTTTAGATGGGTAATGCGCGGCCTACTTCCGAGCTCGGTTTAGGAAAATAAAAATGACTGGTTATAATTTTCTATCAACAAATTAAAATCGATTTAATAATTTATGGTCAAAAAGACTTAGTAGTTAGTAATAATAATTATTATAGATCAATTCAATTAACAATGGTACCATAATGTACGGCAACTTAGCGAGCGGCATAAGACAATGGCTATACTTCTAGCAAGGACATATATATGATATTTTGGATAATGTGCAAGGAGAAACGAACGTAATAATAATAACAATGGACATGGTACAGGATTAATAATTAATTAAGTAGAATTTGGTACGATCGAGCATGGGTGATGACACTGAAGTTGAAAATGAAGCAGCTTGTAGGTCTTTCGAGTTTAAATGACTTAGTCAAATCTATAAAAAGTAGAGTTGAATAAATACTTGTATTTTTAAGCTATACGTACGTATGGTATGCATGCAGGATCGATGGGGATCATGTATGTACATGAGAATTTTGTCGAAGATCGCCATTATTTATAAATCTTTCTTTTCTTTATGTGGTTGGATTTTTCTCCTAAATGTATGTGTTGTTAGTGGCGGGATCAGGAATTTGAATGAGAGGACTAAGTTTGAATCGTGCATGATAATTGAGAAGGAGGGCTAGCGCTTTATGAACTGTTTTATTTTCTAAAATTATTATGAATTTTGCATGTAATTTTTTATATATTTCAAAGTTGGGAGGGATTATAGTCTATAGCTTCTCCTAAGTTCAACTTAACTCCTGCACTGCGTGTTGTAGTTATCAAATTGCTGTTTAGTGGTGTTCTTTAGAAAATTCTGGTCGCATTCCATCCATTTGTTGCAACAAAATGAAAAGGAGACTAATCTGATTGTCATGCGCTAGTGTTATTTAGAAAAATATGGTCATATCCAATCTAGTGATAGCAAAAAAATGAAAACGAGAGTAATCCAACGTGTTCAATACGTAGATTTTGATCAACTCGGTGTTCATGTAATAACAATATTTGAAAATATATAAAAAATAGCCATGAATGTCATAAATTTCCACATAATAACAAGATTCATGATGAACTTGATGTCTATATAACTAATAGTCCAGTTCCAAAGCTAGGTTGAGCTTCAACTATGAAATATAAATAAAATTACAGGTATAATTTGTAATGAAATTAGAAAATATAGTAGTTTGGTCTTAAGCATTTCCCACCTCCCCAGCTAACACCATTCGAATGGGTACTTGTTAGTTTTGTTCAGATTTCTGACTTCTCACCACAATCATTAGTAAATTGAATTATGAGATATGTTGTTTAGAGTGCAAACAATAGCTAGCCTTGGTCACCATATCGGAATAAAATCACCCAATCATTAGTTAAATAGATGCAGAGGCAGAAACCAACATCGAAAAGGACAATGGAAGAACAATCATGGCTTTGATTTACTTAACATTTCTCTGCATGATTGATCATAACGGGTACCCACATATTTATGCCGTGCGGTGGGACAACTGAATTTGCCGTGAAAGGATCAAATCTTATAATTTCTACATTATTCCTCAATGGATCGAAACAATTTTGTCTACCATGTACATTTCTTTATGGCTCTGTGATTGCCGTTTCAAACGAATCTCATATATCACTAGCTAGATAATTTGATTTGTTTTGCATATTTCAATGTTGTACCGGAAGTTGGACAATTTAGTATATAAGATCAACCATTATAAAAAAAATTAGTATAAACCATTATCAAAATTATTTGGTATATAATATCAACCAAATTTCCATAATGCCAAAAGTTAATGTTAGGTATGGTAACTTGACTTCGGTCCACAATGGCATTTCGAATAGACCATAAATAATAATAAGTTTAGGGGAAAGAATGAGAGGAATAATTAATTAAAACTCTATATATATTATTATTCATCCATCACAATACTTCTCAAGGCTCGTCCTCTCGGCGCTATAGCTCTATATATTGGAAGTCCAATCCCGTACCAACTTAACATTAACGTAAACTAAAAACCACAACACATTTAAGCTGATCGAGAGAAAATAAAATGGGTTCCTCGATAGACTACGAAATCTCCGCCATAGCCCTCCTTCTCCTCCTCTGGGTCGCCTGGGCAATGACGACGGAGCGACGCCACCACCGTATCGAACAGCTCGGCCGCCTTCCTCCAGGCCCCCGCCCGCTCCCGCTCGTCGGCAACATCTTCCAGCTGGGCTGGTCTCCGCACAAGTCATTGGCCCACCACGCCCGAGCCCACGGCCCAATCATGACCCTCTACCTCGGCTCCATGTGCACCGTCGTGATCTCGTCCAAACAAGCCGCCCGCACCATGTTCAAGAGCTACGACGTCGTGCTGGCCGGACGGAAGATCTACGAGTCCATGAAGGGGCCCAAGAGCCGCGACGGCTCCATCATCACGGCCCAGTACGGACCCCACTGGCGCATGCTCCGCCGCCTCTGCACCGTGGAGTTCTTCGTCGGCCACCGGCTCGACGCCACCCAGCCCGTCCGGAGCCGGTGCGTGGAGCGGATGATCCGGTTCATCGACGAGGCCCGGGCCCACGAGCCAGCTGTGGACCTGGGCCGGTTCATTTTCCTGATGGCGTTTAACCTAATAGGGAACCTCATGTTCTCGAGGGACTTGCTGGACCCCAAGTCCGAGAGAGGGGCGCGGTTCTTCCACCACGCCGGGAAAGTGATGGAGTTCGCCGGGAAGCCCAACGTGGCGGATTTCTTCCCGGTTCTGAGCCCGTTCGACCCGCAAAGGATCCGGAGGAACACCCAGTTCCACGTGGAGCGCGCGTTCGAGATTGCCGGGGAGTTTATCGAGGAGAGGACACGTGGAGATCATAGTGGCGGCAGCGACGTGGACGACGAGAAGGGGAAGGATTTTTTAGACGTGTTGCTGGATTTCCGCGGGGAAGGAGTTGACGAGCCGGCCAAGTTTTCTTCTAGGATGGTCAACGTCATTTGTAAGTCGACTTTTGTTATCTCTATCGTTCCTTTCCTTTTCCTTCCTTCGTTAAATTACTAACCAAACCAAGGGAAGGGAGACATGTGGTCAAACTGTCTATAACTAATCAACAAAGTCAAGCTATTGGACGGCACTAACTGCTAACCGAAAAGATAAAACAATTATAAGGTTGGATGCTAGATGAAGTGGATGTGTTTCTGTTACGGCGAAATGCTCGAAGAAATCAGATTTGGGAATGATGAGAATTAGACAAAGTGTTTGTCCTCTAGTATGCGTGGGATAATTCAATTTCAACAAAAAGGAATCGAATGCCGGAAGGAAAGAAGTATAATAGAAATCCTGGTCTACCCTAGGAATTAAATTCAACATTCTTATTTGTGTTTTACCCAATACATTGTTTTGATAAAGTTGTTCAATTTATAATGATTTTTAACATCTCTACGGCTTTTTAATTAATTAATAAATTAATTCAAGAAAAATATATTTTAAAATTAGTGGAAAAGGTGTCGCAATTAAATTGTAATACATATTACAAAAATCAAATATACATAATAGTTACTACAGGATAATTAAGGAATAAACGGGTCAAAAGCGATACTGTAGACTTATAAGACGCATAGATCACCCTCTCTTAGCAAATTCGGAAGAAAATTTTAAGTAGAAGGATAAGAAATATTAATGAGAGTGTCTATCAGATACGGTAAATATTTTTTTATTTTTTACTTATAGGAAGTTTTAAAATATCACCATTGACTTGCAGGTTATAACTACTATGTTAACTATCTTGCGCTACAATATTATATTATCTTAAGCTAAAGATTTATTAGAGAGTTTGAGAAACTCCATATATTATACTATTTATTTATTTAAAATTTGGGTCTCCTTTGTTTACTCTATAGGAGATGTTTACGGCAGGTACAGACACAACTACGAGCACATTGGAATGGGCCATGGCGGAGCTCCTCCACAACCCAGAAAAGCTACACAAGGCCCAATCCGAGCTAAGGGCCGTCGTCGGCCCAAGCCAGAAACTTAAAGAACAAGACACCCCTAATCTACCGTACCTTAAAGCCATCATCAGCGAAACGTTGAGGCTCCATCCACCATTGCCCTTCCTCGTCCCGCACATGGCCATGCAGCCATGCAAGATGCTAGGGTACTACATCCCCAAAGAGACCCAAATCCTAGTGAACGTTTGGGCCATTGGCCGAGACCCGACCACGTGGCCCGACCCACATGAGTTCAAACCCGAGAGGTTCTTGGACTCCGATGCAGTTGATTACAAAGGCCAAAATTTTGAGTTCATACCGTTTGGATCGGGGAGGAGGATGTGCCCGGCTGTGCCGCTTGTTTTTCGAGCTTTGCCCTTGGTGTTGGGCTCATTGTTGCATGAGTTTGATTGGGCTTTGCCTGATGGGCTTAAGCCCCACGATTTGGATATGAGCGAAAGGATGGGGATTACCCTTAGGAAAGCTGTTCCATTGAAAGTGATACCGAGTAGGAAGTACAAAGAGAATTAAACAATTAGGGTTCGACATTTTTCTTGTATGATGATATTGCAATGCATCTTTGTATTGTCGAGGAGGGATTGCTCGATATTGTAGTACTTTTTGGTTGTTTGTATGTCACTCCTCAAATAAGTAAAGAGGGATTTTTTTTAAGACGAAGTTAAGTAAATATCATATCCTTCATCAAATTATTTTAAGAAACTCGTAACTCTCTTGTATATAGTTGGTGACACGAAGTGCAATTAGAGAAAAATTGTCCCAACAATTCTACAAAAGTAACCTAGTTCCAAAAGGTGGAGGCAATGTTGTTCCCGTGTCTATAAATGTGGAGGGCCATATTGGATAGAGAATAATACCTTATGATATTGAGACAGGTTTCGTATTATGTTCCTAATTTTTGTTGATATGAGTTGAATCGAATTATTTGTCATCGACCAAAAGTCACGGGATATAGGCTTATACATGTTTGAGTTTTTATTATGGGTCTGGTTTATGACCTTATTCTTTGCTATATTAGATCAAGGTTAGGTCGTATTGAAAAGTACTATATATACTTTTCAATCTTTCTACAATTATAATATGTAATTTTCTCAAATATAGTGAAACCAAGGTTGTCAAACCGGTTTATGCCAGTGTGCTGGTTTAGCAAGTGGAATGGTTCAACCGGTGACACATATCGGTTTGTGCCGATCAATATTGCAAATAAAATTATAAATACTCATATTTAAACATGACATTTAACGTCAATACCTAAACATTTATACTTGAATCCAACAAATAACATCAATACTTGAATCCTTGCCACCATTGTGTGTTTCCAAGCCGTCACAGGTCTCAGGATTAATCTGGATAAATCGATTATGTTTATAGTGGGAGATGTTCCTAATCCTGATTACTTCGCATCTATCTTCGGATGCAACTGGAGCAGTGATGCTTCGAAGTATTTAGGCTTTCCTCTTGGGGCCAAACCTAATGCGGTTTCTCTATGGGATCCAATCGTTGACAAATACCAGAAGAGATTAGAAGGATGGAAAGGGAGGCATTTATCTATGGGAGGCAGAATGACACTTTTAAAAGCCGTTCTTTCCAGCCAGCCGGTATACTACTTTTCTCTCTTCAGGGCGCCTAGCACGGTTACGAAAAGACGGGAAAGTATACAGAGGAGGTTCTTTTGGAGTGGTACAGGAGATAATCGTAAGATGTCTTTGGTTAAATGGGATGTATGTAAAGCCCCAGTTTCTCATGGGGGACTCGGGATTTTGGATATGACGTGCTTTAATAAGCCATGCTGGGGAAGTGGCTTTGGCGTTTCGCTACGGAAAGAGGAAGTTGGTGGAGAAATTTGATTAGCCTTAAGTACCCAAACCAGCATTCAGATTGGTACACTGGGAGGTGCAGACAAGGCTTTGCTGGATCGGTTTGGGCTAACATCTCTAAAGAGTATGATACCTTTTGGAGTATGGCTGGAATTGATCCTGGAAATGGAGCATGGGTTTCTCTGTGGCATGCCAGTTGGATCCCTGGGGTGGTGCTTGCTGATGCCTTCCCAAGAGTTGCTGTCGCCGCTAGCGCTCCGGATGCCAGGATTCTTGATGCTTTGTCCCCCTCAGGTGAGTCTTTTTCTTGGCAAATTCCTTTATCTACTAATCTTAGAAGGGGGGCTGAGAGGGAGAGATATGAGATGTTGAGTTTGCTTAATAGTAGTGGTTCTGGACGTGTGTCATGTGGGTAGGGCTGCAAATGAGCCAAGCCGCTCGCGAGCAACTTGGTGTTCGAATCGGAAAAAACTCGTTCGACACTCGACTCGTTATTTAACAAGCCGGCTCGCGAGCCAACTCGTTAACGAGCCAAGCCTGAGCTAGACCATGCTCAGCTTGATAAGCTCGCGAGCTAGCTTGATTCAGTGGCTTGTCGAGCTAAGCTCGCGAGCTGCCTTGTTTTGAGCTTGTGGAAGGATGAATTACTCTTTTAAACATGAACATTGTCTTCTAATACAGATGTGTATGAAATTTAGATGTTATTTATAGTTTCTAGTGTTCTTTCTATCATTTAAATTCTTATGTTTATACATTTTTCCAGCAAAAATGATTTTATATCGAGCTCATCTTGAGCCGAGCTTGTACTCAGCTTTACAAGCTATGTTAATGAGCATTTATCGAGCTCTACCGAGTCGAGCTCGAGCTAGATTATTTTTATTCAAGCCGAGCTCGAGCTCGAGCTGGATTATCAAAATTCGAGTTCGAGCCGAGCTCGAGCTGAAAAATTAATAAACGAGTCGAGCTCAAACTAAGCAAAAACTCGACTCGACTCGGCTCGTTTGCAGCCCTACATGTGGGCCACCTAGGCCTGTCTGGTTTCCAAACCAGGAGTGCTCGTTTTCTGTTCGATCTATGTACATGTACCTTGCGGGGGAGTCTTTCAAGGGCATCGCCAACTTCCCTGCTGATTCAGTTTGGAGGCCGATTGTTCCAACCAAGATATGCTCCTTTATGTGGCTTGTGGCTCTTAAGAGCATCCTCACGATTGATAATCTCAAGAAAAGGGGAATGTCTCTTGCAAATAGGTGTGAATTGTGCAACAGGGAAGAGGAGACGGTTGATCATCTACTTGTTCGGTGTGACTTCAGTTTGGAGGTATGGGATAGAACGATGACTGCTTGTGGATTGGCCGAGTCCACGGCAAGGGACATTGCTCAAGTTATCTCCAGGTGGCCCATTGAGTGTGATGATAATGTGACGAGCTGGATCCGTTATGGTGTGATGCATGCTGTGTGCTGGCAGATTTGGATTGAACGAAACAACAGGATATTCAGGGAAGCTCGGCTTCAACCCAAGAGTGTTGTTCGGAAAATTCTCAGGGACGTTGTGGAGTGGCCGGTCGCAGGTGGTAAAGTGGACAAAGAGCAGGGTAAGAGGAGCTTAGAGGAGTTTCTGAGTAGGCTCTAAGCGCTTTGGCTTGGGTTCTGCTCTCTCCCCCTTCTTTTGCAGCCGTGAGTTTCTTCTGATGTGGCTTTGGCCAGAGGCTTGGGTTCTTCTCCTGCGAGGGCCTGGTGGGTTGTCCATGTGCAATGTATCCTCTGATGTGGCTTTGGCCAGAGGCTTGTCTCTACTGTTGGTGTTGCTTATTTGCCGGGGGTTTTGTTATGGAGTTACCCTTTTGTTTGGGTGCCCTTCTGGGCGTTGTTTATTCTGCGGTTGGCTGCAGAGGAGGTCTGGTCCTCCTAGCAGTTCTCTTTCTCTTTTTTCTTTAAGTCCTTTGTTTTCGGTTTGGGGATCAAGCCTTTTGATCCGTCTTTTTATTCTTTTTGGAGCAGTGTTGTTTTTCCCGCTCTGATGTACTCTTGGCTGTTTTATTTAATGAATTTCACCTTCATAAAAAAAAAACTTATATACTCATAAAATAAATAATAAAATAATTTTTAACAATTAAATTCACTAAAATAAGGTCATTTTACTTAGAGATTCGTATATCGATCATGCCGGTCATACCGATGATATCACGCCGGTTTTATGACCAGTACCGGTTGAACCAGGTAAAACGGTGCGTGACAACCATGAGTGAAACTAATTATCTCCTCCATGTGAATTAATTAATACATATTGTAATAGTTTAACTATGTAAATATGTGTTGTTTACTTTTTTGGATTATCAATTATCTCCATCCATTCTTAACTATGAAAAATAGAGATAGGAAGATTGGTTTTAAAAGGTACAAATTTTAGGTGCTCAACGACCTAGAAAACAAGCTCTCGGTGATGGCCTGATGGCTGGCTGGACTGACAAGTTGGGCTGCTTCAGCTAATTTCTTTTATCATTGTTGACTTTCACAGAGGAAGGCCGGGTGACAAATAATAGCATCTGCTATTCGCCGTTGCCCCAGCACAAGTCCAACGATCAGCTTCCAGACACTACAGCCACCGCCTTGTCTTTTCTCGGTAGGTACGTAGCTTGGAATCAAGCATAAGAATCATCGGACAGAGTAACAAAAAAGAGATTCTGTTTGGACTGCAAAACAAACCTAGTCAGGTGTCTTGGACGTATATCAGGAATCGATAGTTGACAAACTGTTTTAAACTTCATGTAATCGGCAGGAGAAAAGGCATCTATCTATTAATCAATCATTATAAAGGAAACCAGTGTTAGTTATATCTCTATATATGTATATATCTTGGTTCCTGGACAATGACGATTGACTATGACAAAAAAAAAAGTGATTATTTGTACGATTGCCGGATTAGATTGAGAGAAAGAAACTATACAATATCACACGAGTATTCATCATCAGGTTCCTTATATTCGAGTTTCTTCCAAATAATTCAAGTTATTATAATAAACTGATTTTTTACGTCATAATATTAAAACTTTTAAATGAGCAATCGCGTGTTTAAGTCAATAGATTAATAATTCGTATTTCTTCTAAATATGGACTTAACTGGCCTCGTTTGAAAAGGAAAAGAACAAATCAGTAGCCAAAAGTCCACAACAATTAGCCGGCATATAAGGCTTTGGCAATATGTTGATATCACTAATAACGACTTAGTCGATCACTTAGGTTAATAAGATAATCATATATTGATTAAAATCAAAGATCATTACATCCTGGAGTAAAGCCAGGTCCGAAAATCAAAAAGACGACAAGCAGTCGGGTACAAAAAGAGGGCCTGTCTAGCCAGCGAATGGGCTACCCTATTACTACTCTGATCAACAAATCGTACAAGGAAACCATTCTGCAAAGCGAGGAGACAGAGCCCTCTTCCAGGACAGTACCAGCACGACTATCCTGGATATCAACCCTATTAAGCTTATCAATAACCACCTTCGCATTTCCCGCAAAGCACACCTCAGTAATAATTACTAGTTACTGTTCCCCAATTAAGAAACATTTTCGTGGCCATCATTCAACTAACAATAGTACATATTTAAATATGATGAAAAGGGAAATCCACTTGCATGATATTTAATTGTTTATAAGAAATAATGGAATATAATGTCCATTGTTACTTGTGTAAATTAATTAATCAGGTTCTCGTGTGAATTAAGATAAAGTAATTAAGTTGCATAAAAATTATGCAAATTAGATGTATAGTTTTCTTATGACAAGGGATCTTTCATCACTCGTAAGGTAAAATCTAATTCGCCTTTCATATGATTATCAATCAATTCAGAACTTACATATCTTGATAGATATCTTTCATATAAGATATTAACTGCCAATAAATCGATTCTTATTTCAATAGAGATATGTCAATGTAAAATCGGAAACCATACCTATCATATAAACCCCTTCCCAACGAAGAAACAAAATCATATAAGAGAAAACTCTAAATCAAGGAGAGAAATTACTTTTTTGAGGTCACACAATATCTAGATCAACTACGTCTAGCGAGTGTCCAGTGTGTTGTGAGCCAACTGAGGACATTAATCATTGCTTTTTTGAATGTAGGATTGCAAAAGAGTTATGGATTATGGCTGGATTGGAACATCGTAGAAACTCAATGCGATCCTTTCAACCAGACCTGGCTTGGAAAAATCTATTCTGCGCTACTCACACCTCCAAGATCGAGATTGCCGATACGGTTTTCCTATTCTGGCGAATTTGGAAAGGTAGATGCAAAGCTACTTATGCCTTAGTATTACTTCAAGCTCGAGTTTTGTTCCGACAACTAACAGCGCATATAGAGGAATGGCGAACGGCGGAGGGACAGAAAGCTCGGGAACCCACAGGTGTTCAGAGACCATCGGCGAACCCTATCAATCAAACAGGACCTCAAAGGAGTCATCCAGATGTCATATGCCCTTATAACGGTATCCTTGTGAGATTTGACGGAGCCATGAAGAAAAACCAAGGAGGCTCCATCGGATTTGCGGGATTCTCGAGAGACGGTACGTTATCCTTTGCTTTTGGTAAATATTATGAAGGAATCTCGGATTCTTACATTTCCGAGCTTCTAGCTCTTAGAGACGCTATGAGATGGTGCTTAACACATAATTTTTTGGTGGTTGCATTTTGTGGAGACGCACAACTGGTTATCAAGCACGCTATGGCAAAGAATGCTTCTCACTCTCGAGCAGGGGCCGTCTTGGAGGAAGTTCACTCCTTTTTCTCCTTTTTTGAGTCAGTGTCGTGTCTTTTTGCTCCTCGGAGCTTCAACAGAGCTACCCATGTAGTAGCTAATCAGGCTCTTTCATCGGAAATCCGCTTGCTTACGGATTACCGTCCTTTTTTGGAATCTACTTGTACCTGAGTCGAGTCTTTGTCCCATGCCCTCTGGGCTTGCCTTGGAAAAAAAAAAAAAAAACTACCATATGAAGACAGGCTCCCAGCACAGCATTTAATTACCATACCTATAATCAATCCATACTTCATACATACCAATATATTTATAAACATTAACTACCATATTCAAAAATTTATTTTTCCAAACACAATCGAGGCTGGACCATTAATAATCCTTTACTTCCAAAACCCACTCCCATCCCATACCCATTATAAATAAATACAGTCCCTCCCACTGCAAATTCAAGGTCTCCGGAATCACAGTACTCCCAATTCCCAATTTCTCCTCAATCATCATGATCTCGCCACATCACTACTGGTCAACGCTATGGCCAGCTAACATCCTCTTGCTTCTCACCCTGCCGGCGCTACTCCTCCTCCTCACCCGCCGCCGCCGCCCCAACCTCCGCCACCCTCCCGGCCCGCCGGGGTGGCCGGTGATCGGCAACATCCTCGACCTCGGCGCCATGCCCCACCGCTCCCTCACCGCCATGCGCGACGCCCACGGCGACGTGGTCCGCCTACGGCTCGGCTACTCCAAGAGCGCCGTCGCCATCCTCTCCACCTCCGCCGCCGCCGACTTCTTCAAGAACCACGACCTCGACTTCGCCGACCGGACCGTCACCCAGATCATGAAAGTCCACGGCTACGACCGCGGGTCCGTCGCCCTCGCCCCCTACGGCCCGTACTGGCGCGTCCTCCGCAGGCTCGTCACCGTCGACATGCTCGTCGCCAAGCGGATCAACGCCAGCTACCCCGTCCGCCGCAAGTGCGTCGACGACATGATCCGGTGGATCGGCGACGAGTCCGGGTCCGAGATCCAGGTGGCGAGGTTCGTGTTCCTCACCACTTTTAATCTCCTGGGGAATCTGATGCTGTCGAGGGACCTCCTCGACCCGAAGTCGGCGGAAGGCAAGGAGTTCTTCACGGCGATGATGGGGCTGATGGAGTGGGGAGGCCATGCCAACGTGGCCGACATCTTCCCCGTGCTGAGCTGGATGGACCCACAGGGTTTGGTCCGGAAGATGCGGCGGGATCTCGGGAAGGCGCTGGAGATCGCCTCGAGATTCGTGAGCGACAGGATCGAGGACGGGAAGGACAAGAAGAAAGAATGGGACAAGAAGGATTTCTTGGACGTGTTGTTGGAGTTTCAAGGGAACGGCAAAGATGAGCCGGACAAGATTGCACATGGAGACATCAACATTTTCATCCTCGTAACTAGTTTTTTCCGTTTTACAATCTTGATACGGCGGCCTAAACTATGGCAAGGGGACGGGACGAAATAAATAATTTTGTTTTTTTGTTTTTCGGTTTCGCAGGAGATATTTTTGGCGGGATCGGAGACGACGAGCAGCACGACGGAGTGGGCCCTGACGGAGCTACTCCGCCACCCGGAGTCGATGGCCAAAGTCAAGACCGAGCTGAGAGAGGTGGTCGGACCGGACCGGAAGCTGGAGGAAAGCGACATCGACAGCCTGCCCTTCTTGCGGGCCGTGGTGAAGGAGACTTTCAGGCTGCACCCGCCGATCCCGCTCCTGGTGCCACGTAGGGCGATCAGGGACACGAAGTTCATGGGGTACGACATCCCCAAGGACACGCAGGTCTTCGTCAACGCCTGGTCGATCGGGCGCGACCCGGACCAGTGGGTGGACCCGTGGAGCTTCAAACCGGAGCGGTTCCTGGACTCGAAAGTCGACTACGCGGGCCAGCACTACCAGTTCTTGCCGTTTGGGGCTGGAAGGAGGATGTGTGCTGGCGTGCCGCTAGCACACCGGGTGCTTCACTTGATACTCGGCACCTTGCTTCACGAGTTCAGTTGGGAGTCGAAGGTGGATCCTATGAGCCTGAACATGGACGATCGTTTGGGGATCACTATGAGGAAGTCGGAGTCGTTGATGGTTGTGCCGACTAAGGACAGGATCATGTGATGGTGGAGTGTACCAATTAAGTCAGAAGGGGGTTGTTAAGAAGAAATAATATATAATTAAAAGTTTTTCAAAGCATCTATATATATATATTAGATGCTTTGGTAATGACAAATAGGGCTGTCACCCGGTCGGTTTCGGTTTAACCGAAAACCAAAATCTCGGTTTTCGGTTAAACCGAGACCTGACCTTCACCACCGGCCACCGACCGACCCTGTCACCTCGGTTATCCGAAAACCGACCGGGCGGTTTCGGTTAAGGCATGGTTAAACCGCCTACACCGAAAAAAGGAAAGGTTGGTTCGGTCTACTGATCTAACCGACCGAAAACGACCCCCTTCTTTTCAAAACGATTGCGTTTAACTAATAAAAAAAAATACATTAAAGAAAACCATCCCCATCTTCCTCACAGTCACTCTCTCTCCTTACCTTTCTCCATTTTAGATCTGCCTTCTCTCTCCTTCCATCTCTCAAATTGAAAAAAGCAGGAGCCCCTAGCTCCTCCTTCCATTTTAGATCTGAGAGTCCCCATTCGCCAACGACGAAGGCGCGGGGGAGGAAGCTCGCCTGCTGAGGACGAAGGAGGACGACGAGGCGATGACGGCGCGGGAGAGGAGGCGCTCACCTGACGGCCACCGAAATCCAATCCACGGCAGGAGGACGACGGAGGCGATGACGGCGCGGGAGAGGAGGCTGCATGCGTGCGTTGTCGTTGACCGCGAGGGCGAGCTGGTCTCCCGTGAGGTCGGCCAGTCGTCCGGCGACGGCGCGGAACTCGAAGGGCACGGCGGCGATGGCGGACTGGAGGCGCGGCGGCGATGGCGGACTGGAGGAGCGGCGGCGATGGCGGACTGGAGGCGCGGCGATGGAGGACTGGAGGAGGGCGGCGGATTTCTTTCTTCTTTCTTCTTTCTTCTTCTTCTTCTTCTGCTGGGTTTTCACTTTTCATTTTGAGAAGAGAGAGGTCGGCGCTAGGGTTTGGGGGTCGTTTTGAGGGGGTCGTTTTGAGGGGTGACGGGTCGTTTAGGAGGCTGGGTAAAGGCTCGGTTAGTCGGCTAACCGCCGGTTTCCGACCTCGGTTGGTCGGCTAGCCGAGCCTTCTCCCCTCCCTACCGACAACCGACCGAATATTATTAATGACGGTTTCCGGTTAGCCGGAAACCGGTCGGTTCGGTCGAAACTGACCGGTTAGCCGCTAACCGGGAAACCGATTGCCAGCCCTAATGACAAATGATATGCAACATTGCTCCATACATTAGGGGTCGTTTGATTGTGGGATTTGGGTGATAGATTTGGAACCCAAATTCCAAGCATCATGGAGTTGACACAAATCCTTTGTTTGTTGAGGGACACAAATCCGTGGGGTCCACGGATTTGGACCCCTTTTTTAGATCCAAATCCGTGGACCCCACGGATTTGTAAATCCCACATTTCATTTGGGATTTGACAATAGAAGAAAAAAATGTGAGACAAATCCATCACAAATCCATGATAAAAAATCAACTAAACAAACAATGTACTCTTCCAAATCCATGATGCAACAAATCCATCATAAATCCAAAGATTTTTAAAACTCAAAACCTTCATTTTTAAATCCAACAAGCAAACGAGCCTAAAATTAAGGTTTGCTTAAAATATAATGGTTGTCAATGACCCATTCTTGCCTTCCTGGCCCCAATGCTTTATCTCCAAATGTCTTTGTAGTTAGGTACGATCACTTTGCTGGAAAATGCATAATAATATGTATCCAAAGTTGTTGGAACAGACGCAGAAAGATTCAAAATCGGTGGATAGCTCGCTTTCGACACAACAACAACAGAATGCGCTTGTGAGCATGTTCTAACAAGGCGCCTTGCCTTGCAACAAACTTGTGTCGACTTTGCAGATGATACCACAATGAAAAATCGGATCATGAAGCTCTAAGTTGAACAATGAGAAGATGTTTGATCTTTGTCTTCATGCCAATTAGCTGTACATGGATTGGAAACACATGGCCCATAGGCCCGTTGGCGTTCTTCTAGTTTTGTATTGGGCTCCTTTTTTCATGAATCTACAATATTAGCGATGGACCTTGTGTGGCCTCGATGTTTCCCAATGCTAAAAGTTTTTCTCTACTTCGAAGTAGGTTTGGTGAAACTAATTACCATGATAATTATAAATTAATTAAGATATATAATCAGGTGATCCGTCGAGGTTGGTAATGAAATAGTGTGATGGTCATCTCAAAATCAGTAACTTATGTGTCATGATCGTGATTTTGAGCAGGGTAGTTAAATTTGTTCGGAGAGTCTGAAAAATCGATTTATCATATAATATGTCATTCTTAGAGAATATATACAGAAAAATCATGAGGAGAATACTAAGGGATACATAATTACGTGGCTACTGATGTAAGGAGGGAGGAAACTAATAAGGGCAGCAAATTGCCAAATTTGAAGACAGTTTCTCTTTTCTTCTGTTTCTTAATTGGGATACATACTTTTGCTGAATTTGAACTATTGGCAGTATTATTGAAAAAGTAAAATTGGCAGCCACAAATTCCACAATGGCTGCACAGTTACTGTTGTTATGTTGCTATTCCCATCAAAGATCATCCATAATAGGAAAGTGTCAAACCAAATCAAACTTCATTCCAAACCTCCAAGTTCGTGATCAGTCACGCTACTCGCTATAGAACTAACCAAATAACTAATTATGATTTATAGGTAATAAACATTATGAGTTAAACACCATCTTATAATATCCTAATTAAGTCAATAATTCAACCATTATTATGTACACATTCACATTTTTCTTCTTCTTCAATGTCTGCCTACCAACTTCCAAAAGCAGGGTCCATTTTTTTTAAAAGGTATGGCATCTACTGGACACTGTTACAATATGATGGGTATCCAATTACCAAGAAGAGGAAAAAAAACTGTCCTTTAATCCCCCTCGTCAGCTGATTGGATGAACAGTATTAGCAAAATTAATCAATTTCATTCGAAGACCTATTATTATTTAATTATGGCGGCTGATCAATTTAATTCATAATTAAGCCTTCAAACAAGGCTGTGCGCAGTCGAGTTCTTCCTCGTTGGTTCTCCATTGGCTGCGGCTTACCAATAGATCAATTAGTAATACTTGAAAAAATAATCTCTAGCTAAGAACCTTTCAGACATTCACTACTGGCGGCTGACTATCAACTTGCTATTATTCTAGCAGGGGATGCTATTATATATCCAGAAATCAGAACCCAATGTTTGTGGAAACAATTAGTGTATAGTAGTCTACATAGAAAATGAACATGATGATCTCAATATATAATGGGAGGAAACAACTCTCTTTAACTCTTGAGATGATATATATGAGTCGGTTCATTCTAAAATGTATCGAACTGTGTCCAACCCATTCAATATCTACCATTTATTTTAAGCACAAATAATTAGATCTGTCATTAGCAACAAGTCGTTAGGGTAATGCAATCTCATTGATGGGAGGAAATAAAAATAAAGATTATAACACAGAGCATTTTTCATTGAACTCAAATGAACATAATAATCTTGATATTGATACTAAGAAATATGTGATTTTTCCATTATTCCATTAAAATATATATGACTTTCTTTTGTTCACTCGATATCAAAGGATATTCTACATGGAAAATGTTCGTTGAAGAAAAGTTCCACGTTGAAACTTTTGAAGGAGTAAAGAATTTATGAGAGATATTTCATACAGAAACCATTGAATTTGGAGGAGAATTTATCATCATATGCAGCTGTTTTTCCAAGTTCAAATACTAAACTTAGAAAGTGAGAGATATTTCATAATCTGTTCATCATTTTTATGTATAATTATTATGACCGCCGATCGATATATATCCATCGAACAAAAGGAGGTTATCTTATGCATATATAATATTTTTGTCCATTTCTCTCCCAACACAAAAACTAACTTGCTGGTAGACACTATTGACCAGCCCAGTCTTTTTTGTCAAACTAAGAATAATTGAACAAAAGAAAGGAAGAGACATGGTCAAATTTCCCTTTCATTTTATTTATTTGCGTTGGTGTGACGTTCACATCACATGCAATAATATACGATTTTATTTCATTAATCAAGTATTGAGACCTAACCAATAATCAAAGGATATATTTTCATTTCTCGATTCCTTTCAGTCCCCACTCCCCACTCCCCTGGCCCTATGTACCTATTACCCGCCACAACTTGGGCTGCAACTTCGTATCAATTTCCACTACCAACCATTCCTCTCTCTATATAAACCCTACCGTTGTTCCCCCTTTAATTATTTCTCATCATCATAAATCCCTTTTCTTCACCATCAAACTCCACACAAAAAACATGGCGACCACAACGTTAATCGACTATGACAACCCCTCCACCCTTCTCATCCTCTCCCTCTCAACCCTCATCGCCCTCTTTTTCCTCCTCCGCAGGAAGACGGCGGCGCCGTTTCCCCCCGGCCCCCGCGGCTACCCGCTCATCGGCAACATTCTGGACCTCGGCAACATGCCCCACCGCACCCTGACCGCCATGCGGGAGAAGTACGGCGACGTCGTCTGGCTCAAGTTCGGCGCCAAAAACACCATGGCCGTCCTCTCCGCCAAGGCCGCCGCCGAGCTCTTCAAGAACCACGACATCAACTTCATGAACCGCAACCTCACCGAGACCACCAAGTCCCACGACTACCACCAGGGCTCCCTCGGCCTCTCCCCCTACGGCACCTACTGGCGCGTCCTCCGCCGCCTCGTCACCGTCGACATGCTCGTCCTCCGGAAGATCAACGACGGAGTCCCCGTCCGCCGCCGCAACGTCGACAAGTTGATCGACTGGGTCCGTGACGAGTCCTCCCCCGCGGCAGGTATACAATAATACAAACCTTTATAGTCAAAAAGTAAAATCATTTTTAATACTAAATACTACATCTTTCAAAATTTCATTTATCAAGAGAATTCCACGTGTGTGTTTAAAAATTTGTTTTTATCACGAACGTGATAGGTGATCAACAACCAGCGCCAGCGCGTGAGATCCACTTGGCCCGACTCGTGTTCCTGACCACGTTCAACCTGCTGGGCAACCTGCTCATGTCCAAGGACCTGGTGGGCTCGGACTCGAACGATGCGGACACGTTCTTCGAGGCGATGATGAAGCTGATGGAGTGGAGCGGGCACGCCAACGTGGCCGATGTGTTCCCCTGGCTGCGATGGCTTGACCCTCAGGGCTTGAGGAAGAAGATGGACCGGGACCTTGGGATCGCGCTAGGGGTTGCTTCCAAGTTCGTCAGGGAGAGGATCACCGAAGAAGGAGACAACAAGGAGAAGGAAGGCGACAAGAAGGACTTCCTCGATGTGATGCTCGAGTTCCGAGGCAACGGGAAGGACGAGCCCGACCGATTTACCGAGCACCAGATCAACATTTTCATCTTGGTAAGTTTTCACTTTTTACCATACCTTTTATCTTCCTGGAGTCAAAGTCAAACGTATTTATTTGTTCCTCACGTCATACCAACTTTGAACATTGGTCAAAAAACGGCCGAAATTGTTGAGTGCCAGCCACCAACCACCTACTGCCACGTCGATAACGAAAACTCTTCCCGTTTTCCAACTTGCAGGAGATTTTCTTGGCGGGATCGGAGACGAGCAGCAGCACGATCGAGTGGGCAATGACGGAGCTCCTCCGCCACCCGGAGTCGATGTCCAAACTGAAGTCCGAGCTGGACAAAGTGGTGGGACCCGACCGGAAAGTGGAGGAGTCCGACATCGACGACCTCCCGTTCCTCCAATCCGTCATCAAGGAGACCTTCCGCCTCCACCCGCCGCTCCCCCTGCTGGTGCCGCGGCGCGTGGAGGAGGACGCGGTCTACATGGGCTACCACGTGCCCAAGGGGACGCAGGTCCTGGTCAACGCGTGGGCGATCGGACGGGACGCGGAGGCCTGGGGGGACGACGCGTGGGGGTTCAAGCCGGAGCGGTTTTTGGGCTCCAAGGTGGACTTCAGGGGCCAGCATCACCAGCTGATCCCGTTCGGAGCCGGGCGCCGGGTCTGCGCCGGGTTGCTGCTGGCCCATCGGATGGTCCACCTGGTGTTGGGGACGTTGGTTCATGAATTCAACTGGGAGCTTACCGTTGACCCCAAGGATCTTAACATGGATGATCGGTTGGGGGTGACCATGAGGAGATTTGAGCCGTTGATGGCCGTCGCAAGAGAAGTCAGGGGGTGAACTGATGATAATGTTCGTACGTGCATGGTGACGTCCCACTTTGACCTTTGGATGAAATAGGAGCAAAATGTGTTTTGGTTTTTCTCTTCCTTGAATAATTAATGACATAGTCACACTATAAGTATTCATTGTTTTGTTCTACGTATATTATGTGCAACTTTAAGAAACATGCCCTTTTAGTTATTTGTCATTTTTGTGGTTAAGTGAATATTTTAATTATATTTAATGTTATTTTGAAAAACGGTGTATGATTTATAACCCTATTTATTCCTCTTTAAGTACATGATGTCCAAATATGTGCGATCTGGTACTAAAAAGGGTGGAGGAATGAGGGATACAAGTGTGAATTCGAACCTGTGGATTACTGGATTAAGACTGACAACCAACAACATACCCACTCAGTCACGATCTCGGTCTCGGTCTCGGTCGCATACAACTAGCAGATTTATTACAATGATATGTAGAATATTGTAATATAATTAATCGGTGACAATTTTTATTTTTCTATGGGCCAATATAGGTATAGCCCATACAAACAGGGCCCGTATGTGGCGGCTAGTTGGGCTCCTTTTAGACCGTTCTCTCGCAAAATGTAAAACGTGGCCGCTGGCCCACACCATCGTAACTCAGTCGGTCAAACTGAGTAGGAGAAAGATTCCCAAAATGGCACGGCGGCCGAGCCTAGCGCCTTAGCCTTTGTGGTTGGTAGTCACGTATTCGTCTCCTACCTAGAACTAGAAAGTGACCCAAGTGATCCAAATTGCAGGACTACAATGGACATCCAATATTTTATGTATATAAACTTATGAGACGGTAATGATCGATCAATCCTTATTAGACAATGATATATATATGATCAACTGAATATGAAGATTATTTTTGTATCATTGCGTTACTTTTAACAATGGAAAATGTATAAGCAAATTTCTTCTATATTACAAGGCTAACAATTTCACACTACAAGTCAATCATCTCCGGTCAAGACGCATCTCCTCGAGTCTCTTGCTGATTCTATACAAGTAATCCAACCCGACAATCAGCTCGACGATTGCCGCCTCCGTCTTCGCTCTGTCAGCAAAATACAGCGTCTGGACCAACAGGACATGTGTTTTCGAATCCGCCTCCTCGTGATGCTCGCGCTCGAAATTCCTCACCGCCTGCCACCTCAGCATGTTGTGCGCCAGCGGCAGCAGCCACTCCAGCACTCGCGCCACCGTCTGCCTCCATGCTGCGGCAACTGTCGCATCATACCCTACAGAGGACACTCGACACGTGGCGTGATCTCGCAACCGCTTTCTCAGCACGCTGCGCAGGCTCCCGGGAAGCATTCCGTAGAGCTCGTCTCGTGATGTGGATTCGATCTCATGAGGCGCCGACACCATTTTCTCGATCACGGTGATTAAGTTCGCATAGTGTAAGTACAACCCGGCGTCACCTAAAGTGGTTGGCGCCGGGTTGATCAGTTGTCGCCTCTTGGATCCCAAAAAGGCTAATTTGGAGTAGATCGCCTCAGCTACAACCGTCGAGGATGAACACGACGCCTGCTGCTCTGCCTCTTCTTTTCCCCCTGCCACCACCGGAGAATTGGACACGTGGCGGAGGGAGCTTCCGATTTGGTTCCTGTCTCGATTGCTGTGCATACATCCATTCAACCCACCAACGTCGCTCAACCGTGTTCTCGACCGGCGATGGTGGCAGCCACGTGGAGGGGATGGCGGCGGCGAGGGTTCCAAATGGCCGATTTTCCCCTGTTCGTGTCTGTACCTGAACTTTTTCCGGGTCGGGCTGCCGACACCCGGCGAAGGATGTACTGCGTAGTAATGCTTCATGATCGACGACATTGACTGGCTCCGAGTCAAAGCAGGACCGCCGGCCGGATTCCTTGATTTCCGGCGGAAGGCGATCCTGTTAATCTGGCAGACGGTTTTGATCCTCTCGAGAATCGTGAGGAGAGATCTGACGAGCAGTCGGACGACGTAGTCGTAAGATCGGATCCACGGGGAGATTGCTCGAAAGTTTCGGATCTCCGTTCGGTGCCAGAGCACCCTCTGTTGCGATTCCAGCAGCTTGATCGGGTCGGTTTTCGGGTTCCCGAGCATTCTCCGTCGAGACCGCTCCAGCTCAGCCAGAACGTCGAGCTCCTGGGCTAGAACCACCATCACTCCGGCGAACCTCTCCATCTTCTTCACCTTCCTCTCCATCTTCTTCGGGCGGTACTCCCACCCGAACCACTCCAGGTGGTTCCGAATCGGATCGCTCACAAACATGTCGAACCGGCTGAACCTCGGGTCGGCGCATTTCCTCCCCAATTCCGCCACGGAGACGGCGACCTCGGCGAAGTTGTCGAGGATCTCGTCAAGAGCCAATTCCATGAGGTAATCCCCGTCGCCGGAGACCAGCATCCGAACGCCGATTGTGCCGACGACGTCGTCTCGCAGCGTCCGCGTCTCGCCGTCGCCGAGAAACCGCCATAGGTTCACTACTTTTGACATCAGCTTCGACACCTCGAACGCTAAAACTCCGATGATCGCTCGATCGGCCTCCGGCGGCACGGCTTTCCTCGAGTGCCGTATGAAGTTCCCCAGCCATGAATCAACGACCATTGTCTGGATTAGATAGACGAAGAAGAGAAATTGGACAACTGGGCGGAAGTATGGTATTTAGCGGGGATCGATTAAAGAGGAAAACAGAGTGGAACAGAGTAGATCGCCGCCATTGTTAACATCAATAAAATTCAGGGGTGAAGGAAGGTTTGACCCCAAAACTTTACCTCAATCGGATACAATAATTGATGGGAAACCCAGATCGAAAGAGCGCTGGTTGAACAGCTTTACGGCGGGGGAAGTAAGACAGAGGGGAGAATCGATGGGGTAAAAGAAGCAAGAGACACCATTGGAGCTGGAAATTTTTGGGCCGAGGGACAGAGGAATGCGAGCTGGAAGCGGCAATGTATTGCAAGGAGAAAGCTAGAAAAGGGGAAAGGCTAAAATAATTGTTTTGTATGGATTAAAAATGGCGGTGGGGATGAAGAAAGACGACGAGGGAGGGAACCTTTTGTTGGAGTTTGGCCGGCGATTACTGCGAGGCGGGAAATTTGTCCAGCGCGGAAACAAGGAAGGATTCTGTTGTTCGTCAGTATTATACCCGAGTTTTATGCCTGCACACACCGAGGGATACGAATACGATCCCGGTTACTCTTTTAAGATTCATCGAGGATAATTAAGCCACAGGCCAGGGTAAAAACTAAAAACGAAGACAGCAGGAAGAGTTTTATGGGATTGGAATATTATCATTGTACCATAGAATTATAATTCCATTGATAATTTGGATATTCTCAATGTTCTTTATTACCATGAAAACTTAAGACCTACATAATTAAAAATTGACGATAAATTATAATTTCTCAAATTGTAATTGTTGTACATTTTTATCTAATCAATATATAAATTTTGGAAAGATTCTCTATTATTAAGAAGAATTGGTGAGGAGTTTGATGCTCAGATAGTTTATTGAAGTTGATGAGTTTAATCTTGTTTTGAGAAATTGGATTTTTTTCAACGGATAACACAAGAGGTAAATACCAGCATAAGTTGGGGCACTCCTTGTTCATTCAATTCGATGCTCTACTACTATATCAACTTGGGATGGGATTAGGTGGGGCACTCCTTCTTCATTCAATTCGATAGCACCGTGATAACTAGCAAAAAACGCTACTAAAAACAACGAAATCACTACGGATTATTATAAAATCAATACAACATCTAAGCTAAATCACTACTAATTCAAACTAGTAGTAGTTTTTCCCTTGGTTAGGACGGTGCTAACTATTGTACAATTAGCACCGTAACTCCTCCCTATCAACTTGATAAATGCGACAACGAAATAGTACCACTTACACGAAGTAAAATAACTTGGCATTTACTGTTTGACCGAGCCTGCTAGTTCCTGTGGGCTTTGGATACGACCTGACCCAATTTTATATGGCCCCCGATGTGCAATGGCTCAGTAGGCCTAGTCGAGTTGGGCCTAGTTTTAATATATTTTCCCCTCCAGTTTGTATTTATTTACTTTAAAAATTGTTGGAACTCTAAAAAAAAGGTTCGCCCAATTATCAAGGGGCATCAGTCAAACAACCTCTCTCTCAGTCGCCGTTTGTTGGAATGCACAAAAAATTTGCTCCGTCCATTAGCTAAAGACTAAAGAGTAATAAAGAGAAGAAAGATACAAAATTTTTCAAATTATATAAATTTCAAATCACAAAAAGAAAAAAAGAAAAAAAAACTCAAATGGGAGGAAAATTGAGTCTTTGAATTTTAAAGCTCCTACTTAAGAAGACCTAATCCGCCCTTCACATGGTTACCACTTAGCACTAGGGGGCATATTCCCCATTTGGTGTATCATTTAATGAAATAAATGATCACTTAATCTGGAGGCAATACCTAAAAAGACCTAAACCAATCTTGGGGCACTCCAATTTATAGATCTTACTATTCTCAGCTCGATGGAATAAAACTTATACAAACGTTTAATAGTGTCAACTTTATACCTCAAAATCTTTCAATTTTTATAGAGTTAACAATATAACGACTCAAGTTACTATTGTGGACAGATGTAGTATTTGATTTCACTTTGTCCACAAGCATGATCATTAATTGGGTGTTTATAAGAGATGTTATATATAGTTTGGACTCAAGAGACATGCATGATTTGTACATACTACATTATTTATGCCTCGAACATATGTGCCGATGAAAAGAGATTAATATTCTAAAAATTTACGAACATAATCTGAATTCTTGATCCAAATTCCAACTAATGGATACTCCTACAATATTGTGTCTAGTACCATTACCAAAACCCAACGCTACGTATAATGCATTAGCCATTTTGCTCTTCTTTTATGCAACTTTCCCTTTTGCACAAAATCCTAACATTTGGAGGATTGTCTTGTTTTTTATTTGTTTTTTATTTCTTCATATGAGTAACGTAACGTAAGTGAGGCGAGGGAAGTAGTCATACAAAAAAGAATTAAAGTGAAAGTGGCGATTTGAACTTTTGTGGCGTGAACATGAAAAAAATCCCACCTTTATTTATATTATGGCCCCCGCCTTTAACTGCCTAGCAATGGTTTGACTGGCAATGGCCTTGTTTGTCCAAATTACGTTATTTGAAACCCTAAAATACAAAATCATAAAGGGGAGGTGGATAATCATCATCTTCAATCATCATTTACGTTATTAATTAGCTTATTTTATATATGCATTTTAATTTTCAGCCGAGTAAAAAGCAATAAAGCAGTAAATAACGAGTGATTATTTGGTCAAAATATCTTTGAAATAATGTTATTCCGCATGAAGAATAAATACCAGATAAACACCTAAACATTTTGTATTTAACATTCTGATCCATTTCCAGATTTCCATGGATAAACACAAGAGTGAAGAGACCTCTCTCTCTCTCTCCCTCATTCTTCTTCTTCCTCTCTCTCTCCCTCTACTTATTTCTTTAACTTCCGAAAGTGAAAAACAAAGCTCTCAGTCAGTGCACCTTCTACTTCTGGATACTGGTGTGGCGCCATCGCCAATTTCCTTTTCCCACCTCTCTCTCTCTCCTTCAGTTTCTGTCATTGACCGGCCCTTCCCCGTATTTTTTTTTTATAGTTATGGAGGAAAAGGAAAGTACGGTCTCTGGGTCACTCGGCAACTCGGACACCGACTCGCCTCCGCCCGTCACCAGCCTCCACCCCCAGCCGCCACCTCACCACCACCACAGCCAGCCCGTCGTGCCCTCAAACGACGCCTTCGGCGGGGCGCTGGTTGAGAGAAGCACGGTTCCCCTCGCCGGCGATTATTTGGTGAAGAAGAAGAGGGGGAGGCCGCGGAAGTACGACGCCGACGGAAACCTCCGAGTCAAGCCGTTTCATCATCATCAGCATAACAACAACGGTAACAATAACAACTCGGTGCTGAGTTCTGCTACCTCCCCGCCGCAGCAGCAGCCGACGACGATGTTCTCTTTCTCGCCGTCGTCTCCGCCGTCTACGGATCAGCACCACTACCAGCAGCAAAGGTCGTACCCGCCGGCGAAGAGAGGCCGCGGTCGTCACGCTGCCTCCGGTAACTGGCAGCTTCTCGCTTCCTTAGGTGAGTTTTTTTTCCTTTCTATCGGGAAACTCGAATTTATTATTTTTCTATTATTATTATTATCATTATTATTTTCCTTTAATGTATCTAAAATCAAATTTTATTTACTGTTCGGTTGCCTAGAAAACCGTAGGAGAATGGGAGAAAATTAAGGGTGGTGGGAATGGCATTTAAGATTTCAAATGGTGTAGGTAGAAGAAATCAAGAATGCATGTGTTGTGTTGATAGTCTATACAAGGTTTACTATTAAACTCTTTTTAGTGGAAATTGTAATTTAAATTCGTCAAAGAAGTTGGTTAGAGTTGGATGCTAGGTTGGATTTATAGACCAAAATAGATCAAATGACCCACTAGAGCATAATTTTAGAAAAAAGGACTAATACACAATAAACATAATTTTGCTAGAAGCCTAGAAGATAAGTGATTGCCCTGAATCTTAACAATTTTTCTTGCCATTAAATTTTAGATATGGGAGTGATTCTTGGTATATTTTTACTCCCTAATCTATGTGAATTTATTCGGTCATTTTAATGCATATATTTGCAATTGCCTGTAATATTGCTACTCATACTCACTTATTGAAAGATATTCACTTATTGAATCCTATATAAAAAAATACTCACTTATTGAAGATATTTGTGATTATAATTATGTGTTCGAGGTGAATTATGATGTTAGTAAGGTAGTTAGGTAAACCCTAGCGGTATAGGCCACGTCTGTTGAAGGGGTTGTCAATCTTTTTAGGGCAATGTCTATTTTTTACCCAAACCTTTTCCAGATTCTTTTATTTTAACCAAACCTATAGAAATTCTACGTATTATCCAAACGTATTATAATTTATCAAAGTCTGGGCAATCATTCTGTTACCGTTACTTATTTCGTCCACGTGAGGGGTGGGATTTTGTTTTGTTTTTTGATAATCTTTTTATTAAAAATAGTAAATGATGGTATTCTGACTGCCACGTAGGAAGTCAACTCATTATGGTCATACTTAGTCAGCATTACTAACAGAAAAGTTGACACAGAGTTAACGTTTGGATAATTTTTAGGAATTCAATAGGTTTGGTTAAAATAAAAGAATCTGAAAAAAGTTTGGGTAAAAAATAGACATTGCCCATCTTTTTAATCTCGGTGTGACTTAATATCTTTTTACCTCTTTTTTCAGGGGAGCTGTTTGCAAATACGGCAGGAGGGGACTTCACTCCTCACGTGGTGACTGTAAATACCGGAGAGGTAAAAATGACATTTAAACTTTTAGCTGTGTTACTTTTACCCTGAAATCTCTCTTCTTTTAAGGGCCAATTACTACACAAAACGGTCATTAAAGTATTTTGGTCAAAGTTGACCGAATCAAGGTGTGTATCTACTTGTCCAATTTCAGAATAAGAAAAGCTCATATAAACCTTGTGATTAGCACCACGTGTAGGGAGGAAGAGATTATAGCGATTTCAGGTAATTTACGAGTTAAAATTATATAGAATAATGAGTTTCTTTGGATTGATATATACGTGTAGGACTGACTGACCACACCAACTAATTAGGATTTTTTTTGTGGCATTTTTATTATTAACTCTTAATTCTGTGCATTATATGAAGTTGTTGATCTAGAAGAACGAAGTGATTATTAGATTTGTAGTTGTTTAGTAAGTGATTTGCTACTAGTGCCAAGTTCTAGTGACCCAAATAGTAATTGGCCTCTGTTATATACCGAAAATATCTTCTTGGTTTTCTTTTTCCTCTCTCTTTTTGGAATTGCGCGTAATAACTTCAATCAATGTAACCATTTTCACACTTTCTTTTTAAGTCCCATTCTTTAATGGGTTCTTCTTTTACCCACCAAAAAAAAAAAAAAAATAACTCTAGCTCTCTTTGGTTTTACTTTTACCCCAGGACGTTGGCGGTAAGATTCTGTCACTGTCTCAAAAGGGTTACAGGGGCATTTGTGTTCTCTCAGCCAACGGCACCGTCTCAAATGTCACCATTCGTCAACCTGGCTCCTCCGGCGGCATTTTGACATACGAGGCAAGCTCTCTAGCTAATCTAAACGATTTAAGTAATGTAGGCCGAAATAATCTAGTGATTTGATCGTTCGTCATTCTTAATTACTTATATGGTGTGTTCATTTGATGAATGGCAGGGGAGGTTTGAAATACTGTCACTGACGGGATCATTCACAGTGTCCGAAAATGGAGGGAAGACCAGAACAGGCGGGCTGAGTGTCTCCTTAGCTAGCTCCGACGGCCGAGTTATCGGCGGCGGCGTTGCCGGACTTCTCTTGGCCGCCACTCCTATCCAAGTAAGGAATCTTGAATACGTTATGTGGCGTTTATCAATTCGTTAGTACCTTAACAATTAATTTATCCAACTTAATTATTTTTCAATTGTGGTAAAGATGGTTGTAGGCACCTTTATGCCGAATGGCTACAAGGTCCAGAAGAGAAAGTACACTCACCGCGACCAGCAGCATTACTCGTTGCCTCAGCCGGCAACTTCCCAGACCGCCCCCCAGCCGACGGCCATCCCGCAGCAAGCTGCAAAATGCGAGGCGGCGGCGGATGCACCACCAACTTCCTTGCCAGGACAGAGCCACCACGTGACGGCGGCGGCAGCGGCAGCGGCAGCGGATAATTACAATGTGAATGACGGGAGGCAATTCTGGTTCCATGGTAACAATAGTAGCAATCATAACAGCAACCATAGCTACAATCACGAGCGTCCCGATTCTGGTTGGAACAATGGAACGACGATGGCTATGAACTCAGGGATCCACAGACCGTCCCCTGACATCAACGTTTCAGCTGCTAGCGACGAGGATGTTCCACCAGGTACTACACACGTGGCTGATGTCTAGTAGTGATCTCCTCCTAATTGTTGGAGGGTACGTGAAGATTTGCAATATCTGAAGCAACGAGTTCCTGTTGTTTTGTTTCAGGTGTGTTCTGATCATTCAGTTAGATTCCGAGGGGAAAACGCTACTGGGAAAGTTGGGAGGAGGGAAGACTGTGGTTGATTGTTAAGCTAACTCTGTTCTTGTCTTGGATTAGTAATATGCTTATTTTTACCGAGAGTTCATTAGGAAACCTTTAACCTCATCACAACTTGTTATTTCCTCTTGTAGTCAAATGTTGTGGTTGTGGAGTAGTAGCTTTTTGCTTTGCTGCTTTACATGTTCAGATGTTCTGTTCTTGACTTGACAGGGAACCAATACTTCCATATGCAGGGGCTTTATTTGCTGTGATTTGGAGAGAACTTGCATGACATGATTAGCATGAATTCTTTAGGCTTTCTGAGGTTTCATGTTTTGTTAATACTCATTAGTTCGCATCTTTTCATAGACTAGAACGAAGGCAATGCATCTGTGTGATTCGTGTCTCAGATAGATCAGATTACGCATTACACTTTTCTTACCTACATTACATTATGAATCTTTACCATGTGCATATAGAGAATTTTATAGAATCCCCAAAAAATCACAGAAAATGAAAGAGGAAATTGGACAAAGAAATGGAAAGCAGCCACCATGTGGGTTTGTAGTCCAGCAAAAACAGGGAAACATGCATGAAAGATAATGGAAATTAAAAATACCAAAGCCTATAGGCTAATAATTAATGATGATAGTATTTAGTTCTTTTTGCTGCCGTGAGCAAGGATGATCTTTCTGTAGTGAGCCCAGTTAGGATGAGAATGTGTTATAGCTGGCTGCCCAAATCGATTGGCATTCACGTACGAAGGAACGTCATCAGCTCTCGCCAGCCCCTGCAGGAACATAGACAGTTCGCCTCCTGCAGCTGCAAATAAGGAAAAAAAATGAAGAGTTATATACCCAGAATCAACAGGAAGAAGAGACAACCAAAGAGAAAGGGACTTGAATTTAGTATAATAATGTTCTTAATTACCTAGCACATTGTCTTTCACGTTCTCAAACTTGTACACTGGAGGAAACACTGCCGTGTTTGGCTACATCAACGATAAATTAAACCAGCAAGAGGAAATGATAATTAAGGAAGTCTGAAATCCTAAGATGATGGTACTATGACATTTATGAATTTGAAATGGAGGAAAATGTGATTTGTAATTACAGGATTCAGAAGCGCTGTGTATGGCTCGGATTCGATCATGATTGTATTCGACGCGGAATACTGAGCGTTATCTAAGCCCCAACGCTTCTGGAAAACCTTGTTAAGCTCTTTCAGGAATATGGATTGGTTGTTATTGTTCAGCATCTTGAATCCCGAGTTCTTGCACTCTTCTCTATTCTGAGAGTCGTGTTACATTAATATAATCATGTGTACGTAGTGTGTTATATTGAACAAACAAGAATACATTATATCATGGTAATTAATCATAATTAAGTACTCACCCAAATGAACAAGAAGTCACTCATCTTCAAACCGCTCATCACACAGTCCAGAGCATTGTCTGTGTACCATCTATGCCATCATCAATTTCATTAGACAGTTCACCAACAAAACCCTGGCTAGCTACCTCAATCGTTTCTAACTTGGAATCAGGACATCGACTTACTTCTCAGCAGTTGACCAGATTGCCACGTCGAACCTTTCAAGGCAGAACTTCAAGAACTCCTGGCAGTGAGGCCTTTTGTAAACTGACGAATTAGGAAACAGTTGACGTTACAAAAATGAATAGGCAAACAAGACCAAAAAAACCCCCCTCCCCTGCGTACCTACAAATGAACTTACGTACGTACATACGTACCTACAAAGTTCTGGTGGCCAGCGTCGTTAGGCCAAGTGGCGTAAACAGTTTTGGCAGGATTCTGTCCTTTCAGCATCCAACCTTTGAAGGTTCGAAACGAGTTTCCACGTTTCATGACCGGTTCGCAGAGCAACCCGGCAAGCCCCAGCACCAGAAGCTTCCTCTTAGGTGCTACGACAACTGGCCCGACGATGTTGATGAGATTGGCTAGCCATGAAAGGTCCAAGTTCAGTTCGACTTCCTTCTCTTCGTCCTTGGCATTGCCACCGGCGTCCTTGGATTTTCGAGGCAAGGTTGCCTTCAGCTTCAGATTTGCTTGCATGGCTACAGATCGATCGAGAGAACACTCTGTTCCCCTGTTTGTGTTTCAGGATGTGAGAGTTGGCCCTTGGGCTTGGTTGAGGAGCGTACGTGGTTATTTATGGTGGGATTCCGGAAGCTCTGATTGGATTAACAGTTAATCATCCATCCTGGTGATTAGGATTAATTGAATTTGGAAAGGCTGGCGGATATCATAATGATGGTGGTGTTGGAGGCTGAGCGCCTGACGCTTCGGATAGTGAAAATTCTATTTCTCGTTGGGTATCTTTAGGAAATGACAATGACGTTTGGTTAGTAGGACATGCATGCATGATTCTTTGTGGTTAATATAAATGGAGTTCTACCAAGTTTCTACATAGTGGAATTAGGGATGACAAAGTGAGAATAGCAAATAGTACTATTTTCTTTTACGTCATTTTAGAATGCATATTGTTATGAATTTTGAATTTAACATTGAGAATATGTACTTTATTCGGAAAGATAGTGGCACGATGGAAGGAAAAAAAAAAAATATTCATATGTTTCACCAAAAGCTTGTTAAAAAATGCATTCGTTACCAATACTAGTAACAAGAAGAACGGTGAATCAGATTATGACAAATTCAAGCAGAGTTGGAGGCGTTCTTGTTTTGAATTCCAGTGCACGCTCTTTGGCTATATGAGCTTGTTCTTCTGTGCAAAACCAATTGTGAACTCCACAAAAATCAGGTATGGTCAAACCTCTATCAATAGCAAATCTCTCCAGCCCGATGAAATACTCGAAAGCATACTCAACAAACTCACAATCGAGGTCGAACCCATTGAACCCAACGATCTCCACCTCTTTGATGCTCGTCCTTTTCACTTTATTCACCACAGCAGGCTCCCGTAAGAGACGACTTTTCTCTTGCGACATGGTCGTAACCACCTACATCCAAAACAATTGATCAAGCTATAGTGAAAAGTAAAAGCTAGCCAAGTTATACGAAACAAATAAGAAGTCGATCGATCATTTAAACGACTCTAACACAAAAGACCGCATGTCACATGAATCATGATCGATCGATCACTGCGACATAAAAAGAAAAGAAAATCAAGATGATGATAACAATCCCCAGAACTTACCAAAACTCTCAATGTGTGCAAGCGAGGACAAGCATTTATCAAGGTAGTCCAGCCAAGGATGCTTCTGTGACCTTGTGTAGGAAAACTTTTCAATGTCAGCCGCTCCACGCAGGTTAGTTCAGCCAGATTCGAAGGAAACATAATTGCCGTCTACAACAAACAAATAGACAAGCATGCAACTGTTAGTAAGGAAACATAAAGGGAAATCTACAATTTATACCTAATAATTCGAGTCGAGTTATTGAAATGAAAACATATTTTGAACTCACGATCCACTCACCGTGTGCATTTTCAGGGTAAGCGTCCGCACCCGACCAACATAGGCAGAGAGGGCTCGGAAAGCCATTTCAGGGCTGCAAAAATCAAACCCTAAAGTCAACTCCACAAGACGGTGACAGTCGTCGTGCACCATCAGTTCCTCCGTTGGATCATCGACGCCGTGGTAGTGCAAGTGAGTGAGCTTAGGAGCATCCCCGATCTCCAGCACTCTAAGAGGCTCGCATCTGTTCACTTCCAAATACTTAAGCGCCCGAATACGTCGTAGCCTGAGATTCACAAGCGAATGTGAGTGATACACAACCAACCGTTCGAGTAAAGGACAGTTGGCAACAAAATGCTCGACAACCTCTCCTCGTACGTCCACGAAACCCAAGCTGAGCGACCTCAGGAGCTTGATGTCGGATGCCCGAGTTTTGATGTGATCGAAACAAGCCTCGGGGAAAACATAATGGTGACTACGATTGTTGGTGAAGTAGAAGAGCTCCAGGGACTCGACTCTCTTCGATATCAACGCGAACTCGAGCCATCGATCCATATCCCCACCCGAGTTGCACTCTTTCTCCAAGAAGAACTGAACTCGGAACTTGCTGATGACCGGACTAATTGAGCCATCGTCATCCTGAAGCTGCCTCAAGACTCCGTTCACCCAGTTGATGTACCAACGCCTTTTCTCCTGCACCCACGTGTCCCTCTCCTCGTCGCTCTAAGTCAATCTCAGCCTTCCATGCTCATTAAAATCCTATGGCTACAATTAATTCATTTTAAGGAAGGACAACATAGTAATTATACATTTTAATTTTGTAAATAAAAAAAATTATGTCTGCGCGTCCGTCCGCCGTCCTGCTTCCCTTTCCGACGGGGAAATTATTTCCAGGCAGGCGGCCCATTCCGGCGGCCCTTTCCGGCGGGGATTATCATTCCCAGACCATTATTCCAATTCCATTCCACCACTTCCGAAGAAAGAATGGTTACTCCATTCCCCTGGGCGGCGCCATTATTATTCCCCAGAGAGAGAGAGAGAGAGAGAGAGAGAGAGAGAGAGAGAGAAACGGTGGTGGATGATTTTCCGGCAACAATATTTGAGTTCGTGATGTTTGTAATGTTTATATTACTATTTTGTATACATTGTAATGTTTGTAATGTTAGTAATGTTTGTTTGTCTAGTTTGTATACTTTATGTTATGATTTATACACTTTCTATTCATTGATTTGTATTTGTAACTTTTGTTATTCAAGTTTGTATACTTTTATGTTGTGATTTGTATACTTTGTATTCATTTGTTTGTATACTTTGTACTGTTTGTAATGTTTGTAATGTTTGTTTGCAATGTTTGTAATGTTTGTTTTTTTGTAATGTTTGTAATGTTTGTTGGTTTCTTTTGTATTGTTTGTAATGTTTGTTATTTTTGTCCACATGTTTGTCATTTTTGTCAACCATGTTTGTAATGTTTTTTGCATCACAAATCAATACATATAAAGTATACAAATTATTAGTACTTACAATACAAAGCGAAACATACTAAGAATACAAGCAAAACATACTAAGAATACAAACTGTCAAAGAAAAACATACTAAGAATACAAACTGTCAAAGAAAAACATACTAAGAGTACAAACTGTCAAAGAAAAACATACAAACCATACTGTCAAAGAAAAACATACTAAGAGTACAAACTGTCAAAGAAAAACATACTAAGAGTACAAACTGTCAAAGAAAAACATACTAAGAGTACAAACTGTCAAAGAAAAACATACAAACCATACTGACATTTTGTACAAAAATACTAACAATACAAACTAATGTTACAAAACATACAAACTATACAAATCATTGTTCTTCCTTCAGACGACTCTCTCTCCACCGCTGCCGCCGACGGAGACGGACTGACTTTGCCGCCGACGGAGACGGACAATGACACAGCGCAAACTCGAAAAAAAACACGATCGAGATTACATTACACGAGAGGGACAAAGCGTGAGAGGGGAAATCGAACAGCGAAGCGAGGCGGAGGCTAGGAGGAGCTGTTGCTGTTCTTGCTGTTGAAGTCGGAGGCGAGGCGGGAGGCGATGGCGGAGTGGTACATCGCGTCGTGGTGCGTCGACGTCCCGAGGTCAGCATCCGGAGCTGCTTGGCCTTCTCGGCGGTGAAGCAGCCCGGGGAGAATCGAGATCTGGCCTGCTTCGCATCCAGATCCGGCCGATTCTCGTCCTGATCGGCCGCCGGCTGGCTCGCTGGCGTCGTCCCGACGTAGTCCGGCTCGGAGGACCAGCCGAAGAGCGGGGACCACCATTTCGGCGAGGCGGAGGAGGATGGGGGGAGCTGCCTCCGGCGGTTGTTGAGGTCCGCGCTTCGTCGGGAAGAAATCGGCTCGCCGTTGCTGGAGAATCGCCTCGCCGTTCGCCGGAGAAGCCTCGCCGTTCGCCGTTGCTGGAGAAGCCTCGTCTCTCTCTCTGGACAATACAACGGGAAAGGAAGAGAGAATTGGAGAGGGGAAAAAGGAAAAAATAAATAAAATGGAAAACAGGATTTAATTATTTTTTTTAAATGCCAAAACTACCCCTCTGATTAATTATTAACCCTTCCTTCATCTGGACCATTAGATCTACCCATTCTAATCTAAGGGCTGAGGGGAGCTTAGCCATGTGACTAAGCACCCCCCTTAGTCACCAGATCCGGACTCTGTACCAACGCCTTTTCTCCTGCACCCACGTGTCCCTCTCCTCGTCGCTCGAGTAAGGCGGGTTGAGGCATGCGATCCCACGAAACACTTCTCCGGCGTCGAAGTTGAGCACCGTGACGGACGATTTCCACAACTTTGTCCACCTGGTCGACAGGACCGAAGTGGCGGCTGCTTCTTTGAGGGTCAGCATGGACACGACTTTGCCGAGGATGTCATCCGGCAATTCGCTAATCCGGTCGACATCGATACTACTACTACTACTACTCAATCCAGAGCCGTCGGGCGCCATTCTTTCTCGTTGGCCGCGGGCGGATCTTTCTATCCCTATCTTGTGTTCTCTAGACAATTCGTTAGAGAGAGTTCTGATTCGCACGGCACGGCACGGCACGGCACGTCTTCGGTGTTCTATTGAGGACAGAAAGAAAACGTCCATATATATAACCCTAGCGTGCCAACGTACTTTCCCTTTTCCTTATCGACCACCAAATCCTCGTTACATATTTAATTTTTCCTTGCAATCCGTAAAAAAATCCCTTGTGGATAAGTCCAACGACATAGAAGAAGTAGTGCATAATTCACTTTCTTGTTTTTTCAAATTTGAATTTGTTCATTTAGAATTTTTATGTACAATTAGAAGATAATTTACTATAACGGTAGTGGTATTTATAAATGTTTGATGTGATTCTTATGAAATATTTGTATATATTCACTAACTATTTGTTAACCACTGGCATGTGCCTCGTAAAGTCCACATATAAACATACGTTCTAATGCTATAAAAAAAAACATACGTTCTAAGCTATGAAATACACTATAACTTATAGGTAAATGAAATCAAAGTATAATAAACACACTACTTCTCTAATTGTTTATTCTTTGTTCTCAAATCTTTAAATGCTCAAAACTTATTCGTTTTAGATCTCAACTTTGATAGTTTGAATGATTAACGTGTTTTATAATTTTTTTCAAAATATCAAATATTAATAAGGATACTTATAACAAAATCTTTAAGAAAAATATTTTATGACGACTTTTACTTTCAATTCAGACTCATTTTAAGTAAAATGGTGACTACTGCTATCGTTAGTACTGGTGCACTATTATAAAATTAGTAATATAATTACATATGAAAAGCAGCAAATTGCAGCACTGTCAATAGATAGGTTGAAACTTTTCCTAGCGTACGTCATATGATACCCCCCTAAATGCATACTTCAACAAACTCATCTATATACAACATGTCAATCATTTTCCCATGACTCCTCGGTCCTCACGGACAATGTATAGTGTAGCAAGGAAATGAAAATTTCATGATTGTAGCCATTAAAAAGCCCATGCAAATTAAAGCACCAGTTTTATTTCACTCTCACTTCTCATATCAATTGTGTCCTTTCGTGCAAGTTGGCTTAATGTGTTACTATAAGACTACACTGGCTCATGCAGAGTTTTGATGATGCTTAGGTCTCCCTTCAAGATACTCCGACAGGTAGAGGCCATAGCGATGTCGAGCGAAGAGCGATGATTGATGGAGAGAAGTGCTTGGTGAAGAAAAACATCATTAATCTTGATGATGGTTTTGTTTTCACGATGAATGATGGTTTGGTTCTCCAAACACTTCTCTCCAACAAACTTCATTCTTCGCTCGAACATCCTTTCCTTGGATCTAGATACGAAGATGAGGATCAAGAGCTTGACAAGAAAGAGTAAGTTCCTTGAGTTTTAAGCAAGCCGTTTTTGTTAGTAGTAAGGGTCATTTATTTAGTTGGATCTGTATATAATTAAGTATCTTAATTTTCAGTTCATGACTTCTTAATTAATTCATTCGACAATGCATGGATTTGAAAGTTGTGTCATTCAAAACAATTAATTACTTTTTACAAAACATTTGTGCTTATGGAATGTAATTATATATAATTATAATTGACTCTAAACATATCGTAATTCTCATTACAGAAATACTTATGCAAATACAATATCGAACTTGATAACACAAAAATCATTAAGTCCCTCCTAAATCATGATGAAGTGGTTTTATGTGGAAGACTCATTATGCTTTGATTACCTACATGTAATTAGGAAATTTTAATACCCGTTGACCAATTCTTTTATCCAGCCAAATTTTACTAGATCAACATTAAATATTGTAAAATATGGTATGAAACATAACAATCTAATACGTACACGAACTTATAGTTATATGTCATGTTTAAATATATTTTTATTCTTAAATATTATAGATTTATAATTTTAAAGTGAATATAAATATAAGAAAATGTTATATTATTAACTTACTTCTTTAAAACATGTGTGTTTTGACGTGTTAATCGTATTTCACAAGTGTTAAGATACAACACTACAAAAAAAAGGACAAAAAATCGTATTTAAATACAACATTTAACATCAACATTCAAATGTTTATACTTGAATCCAATAAATAACATCTACATCTTAAATCTTAATGCACATACTTGAATATGATAAATTTCTTTCTTTTTGTTACTTAATACCATTGAACCGATGCCATTTTGGTTAGAGACAAAAAAGATTGTTTAGGTCGATCACTCTTTTCCCTGTTTGATCAATTTTGACCGGTTTGGGCTACAGCTTCATACTGTTGATCTTCTAATTGTTTTTTGTTTTATTCGGTTGAACTTGATTGTATCAGTCGACATACAAGTAGTTTGAAATTCATGAAAATATCCAAAGCATGCAACTTTAAATCCAACATGCCAAATCGAATTTTCATGACTCTTAATGGCAGGATTGATCATCAAACAATGAGAGTTTTCATTCCCCATACTAATTGCATGTCTAAAATATGTTGAATGAAATTTTCAAGATTATAGTCCTTAAAAAGCCCCCAATTCAATCTCACTCTCACTTCTCAAATCATATCAATCAAGGAGAGTTTTCATTCCCCATACTAATTGCATGTATAAAATATGCTGAATGAAATTTTCAAGATTATAGTTCTTAAAAAGCCCCCAATTCAATCACACTCTCACTTCTCAAATCATATCAATCGTATATCTTCATCTTCTGCAGGTTGGTGCACAATATGTTACTCAAAGAACTCCAATGGCTCATTTAAGAACTTTGTTGAAGCTCTGGATGCCCCGCAAGAAACTACAAAGGGTAAAGGCAGTAACGACGCATTGTGGCGAGTGAGACATGCTGATGAACAATATTTGAAGCACCAAACCGTTATTCTTATGGAAGAGAAATACGTCCCCATCATGATAGTATTGAGGAAGATGTTCCCAGAAGCTAAGAATGAGTTGGGGGTGCTTTGGGGACTTTGATGAAGCAACCAAGGAGGTTATCAAGATGCTGACAAGGGAGAATGACTACCTTATGAACCGAGTCTTGTAAGAGATAAGATATTGGTGGATGAAATATTTTAGTAATAATGTTTGTTGTTGTACCATAGTTTAGACGTTGAGTGATTTAATGATTTGATAGCTAATGAATCTACAATTGAGTAACTTAATTTACAGTGCATGGTTTTTGTAACCTTTATATGAATTGATTTGAAATGTGCCTTTTGAAATATCAAGTTCTTCTTTATTATTATAACTAGTTATATATGAATCAAAGAGTATAATATAAGTATGAATTGGAATTATAATCAATTTCAAAGTGGGTAATACAATAAAACATTTAATCCAGCCAAAATCCAATTGAATGCAGAAAACATGATGAATTTGGTTATTAGTAGCTTCCACCATCTAATACATAAGCAATCTTATAGTTCTATGTAATGATTAAAGATTTAATTATCATTATTAAATAGTATATATTTATAATTTTAATAGTGAATGTGAGTATAAGAACATGTTATATTATCAAATTTCTTTTTTAAACTATGTGTGTTTTAACATGTTAATCGTATTTCACAACGGTTTAAAATATAATTTGCGACTAAGTTGAGAAAAGTTAAGATAGCCATGATATAACATGGAAAGAATAATCCTAAAACTATTTAGAATCCCTATATAAAATAGGATTATTAAACATATATGTTTATTAAGCAATTTTTATTCTTAGATTTTGTTGTGAAAAAATCCATTTTCGGTTTTGGGCTCATCTTCAATAAGAAATGTCAAATTAGAAAGCCCAAATGAAAATGGGCGTCTGGTGCAATTCAGCCAACCCGGTAAGGAAAGAAAAAGAATGCTTCTCAAGGCTACTAGAAGACACGTGGCACTCGCAGTATGCAGTCATCGTCGCCCTGAACCTTCTAGCTCCCCCGCCAATTTCCTTTCTCGTCCCTTTCCACTTTCCAGCAATTTCTAGATTCCCAAACCGCCAAATCCATCCAACCTTTATAAAGCCTCCCGACCACATCCCATTCCAATCCGTAACCAAAGCTGAAACAAATACCGAAATACACATTCGCGTGGAGAACAAAATGAAGCCGATCAACGACAAGGAAGACAAAGTGGTGATACGGGCGGTGAGCCACGACGAGGAAGGCCGGAAGCGGGTGGAGAAGACGGAGCTGTCCACCCACAACATCGACACCATCAAGCACGTGGAGAAGAAGCTGAGGGACAAAGGTGTCCACAGGATGGACCGCCATCCGGTGGACGGCATCGGGATCAAGAATCCGCCTCCCAAGTCCGGCCACGGCGGGAAGTACACGTGGGAGGGTCCCGGTGACCTGGCGGAGAACGAGATGGAGCCCGTCCCCGCCGCGATCGACGAGAAGGATCCGAACTACGTGGACGAGGAGGAGGAAGAGAGGATTCTGAAAGGGGAGAGGAGCGACGTCGCCGGGATTGTGGTCGGAGAGGTGGAGGTGCCCAAGGTTGCCGAAGGCAGGGAAGGCGTCGCAAGGGTTGAAATGGATCCTAAGCTCGTTTAATTTGATGAGTGGGAATTTACTGTCGGTTAATTTTGCTGGTTTTTTTTTTAACTTCCAGTTGATTTACTTGAATCTGCGTGGTAAAACATGGAATTTAACTATGTAATATTAACCGATGAACGAGAGGTTTGGAAGGTCTAGTTTCTTTATCTCGTCTCAGACTTTCTTTCGACAAATCGTTCTCATTATCGCGTCTCAGACTTTCTTTAGTCAAATCGTTTTCATTATCTCGTCTCAGGCCGAAATGTCGTAACCCGGCCCACAACCTGAAAGGGCCCATTCGTATTAGGCCCAACTTCAGTACGCGATTGACCGATAATGACAAAAAGAAGACGACTGGAATCCACTGACCTTGGTCCCACATGCTAAATTTATCCGGCGGGTTGCATCTCAATTCTCAAACAGAGAGCTAGCTACCCCCACCCACTGAAGTCTCAACATCTCTTTGATCTTCCTTGCTCTTTCTCTGTTCGATTAATTGCCTCGATTCACCCAAAAGATAGAACGTGTGCAGTTTGATATCGTAAAGGCATGGGGTGGTGGAGCAGCAAGAGGAGAACATGGTGCGCAGTGTTGTTGGGTCAGGCAGTTTCGCTATTCCTTGCTCTCAGCGGCTTCAGCACCTCTCTCCTAGCAACTATGGGTCTGTACACAACTCTCCAGTATTTTTCCTTGCCGACTTTCTTGGGTTACTGTTCATTTCAGCATCTCTTTTCCCCCCCGGTCTGTTGTTGTACTGAATAGTCTCGTTTTGGCAGGTTTTGATGCGCCTGTAACTCAGAGCTGCTTCGGTTACTTCAGTTTAGCCACGGTTTACGGCGGCATTCTGCTTCACAGGCGCCATAAACTGCAGGTTTCTTGGTATTTGTATCTCCTAGTCGGATTTCTGGAAGTGCAGGCCAATTTTCTACGTAAGCAGCTTAAGCTCTAGTTTCCTTCTATTCTTAGCTCGAATTTGTAATGATTGAGAACAACCCAGTTCCTGCAATTTCCCTTTGGATTCAGTAATCAGAGAATTAGTTCTGCGTGCTACTGTGATTTTTTCAGGGACCAAAGCGTACCAGTTTTCGTCAATTACCAGTGTCACACTGTTGGTCTGCTTTACCATACCATGGGCCATCATTCTAACTAGGGTGTTCCTGGGCACCCGCTATTCGATCCTGCAGTTGGTTGGTTCAGCGCTTTGTTTAGTTGGTCTTGCTCTAGTTCTCTTATCAGACGCTGATGGCGGTGGAGGTGAAGAAAAAAAGAAGATGATCACTCTTGATGTTCCGTTTTATTCTCTAGTTGATCTTCATGTAGGACTAATGACATGTTTCCCAACTCTGCAGGTGGCTCGATGCCTCTTCTGGGCGACACGCTAGTGATTGGGGCATCAATTTTCTTTGCTTTCTCCAATGTTGGTCAGGTAATTGGAAGCTGTCTTTTCTTTTCTCTAGATTGTTCCATCACCCCATTTTTGTACTTCACTTCTCTGTTGAAATTTGCAGGAATTCATTGTGAAGGACAGAGGTCAGATGGAGATGGAGATGTTGTCAATGCTCGGAGTTTTTGGGTTTCTATTCAGTTTGGTGGAGCTGTATCCTTTTGATCACATTCTTGGTGGTTTCTTCAAGGGAAAGGCACCTTTGGTTCAAACGAGTTTTCCATAACTACGTTATTGCAGATCTGCATTTGAGTTGCGGAGTCTAGGGTCAGTGGACTGGTCTGTAGATATGGTGAGTAATGTAACTATATTTTCACCCAGACTCTCATTTATGTCTTACAAATAAACCCCATTTTGCTTGTATGTGCTTTCAGATATGGGCAATTGCTGGCTACACGCTCTCGATGTTTTGTTCATACTCCATGATTCCTTGGATTCTCAAGGTATCGGTATCTTTTTCCTTATGGTCTTCATCATTCTCACATCAAAGACAGCTTCCATAGATCAGCAGGAATTGTGTTTTATGCAGTGGAGTGGAGCCACAATGTTCAATCTCTCCATCCTCACTAGCAATATGTGGGCTGTTGTTATTCGAACCTTCTTCTACCAACAGAAGGTTAGTAATAGACTTATAGTGTCTGTTTGTGCATATGGTTTTGAGGTAGCAATTGCAGCAGTCATCAAAGTGATGGCTTTGAGACTATCAATTGCAGATGGACTGGCTATACTTCCTTGCCTTCACAGTTGTGATTCTTGGGCTAGTCATTTACGCCATAAAGTAAGTTCTGATCTGCTTTTCTTCTTATGAAAGATGCTTGTGCAACGTGTTAGTAGTGAGCGACTCGTTTTGACTCTTAACAGTGAGAAGGACCCAGTCTCTAAGCATGAAGTAGACAGTGAGAATTTGAGTTCAGAATGCCAACGGCTAGTTGTTGATGAAAATCCAGAGGCAGTTGCTGCTGGAAATCAATGTTTAGTTCCATGAAACGGGTTCAGGACCTCATCAGTATCACTACTCAACGGACATCCGCAGTATCAGTAGTTAGAAATTACAAAACAGAGAAATTGTCGAAGATGATTAGAGTCTGCCTTGCATTCTGTTGACAAAGATAAAAGCATAATGTCATTCAGAAGCCTTGTTGTAAAGGAATGCTCAGCTCCAAATCACCAGGCTTCTAAGTTAGCCATCTTTTCGAATAAATCTATACAGAAGTCTCTTCAGATATGGTTGCCAGTCTCTTCACTCTAAATACCAGTCTTCTAAGCTAGCCATCATTTCAATAACTATTAAACTCTACTGAAGTCTCTTCAGGTATGGTTGCCAGTCTCTTCAAAAATCCTATCAATTTCAAATCTGGTTGCCAGGCTCTTCTGGGTTTTGAAGTGCAGGGGAATAGATGAACCTGGCTGGGATAAAATGTGTTAGCAAATTTTCATTGAGCACTCTGTAAAAATTTCATCGAACACACTTCTTGTTTGCTTGAGGAGTTTTCTCTTCCCTTTGCTGACTTTCTCCATGTTGTGCACGTGGTCAGCTTTTTTTCGTTGTTCTTCATGTGGACCCAGAAACGAGTGATCAAGAATGCTTAGTTAATATGTCGGATTGGCTTTATTTGAACCAGAGATCTATCTTAGGCCACACAAATCTTTCAGTTGATATTTCTTGTCTGGTCAGCGGCCCCCTCTTGATTAGCATGTCAATCACTCATTTTATTCCCACTCAAAATCATTACGAAAGTACTTGCAGTTTAATGTTGCGAAAGCTATGGATCGGTGGAGAATGAAGAAGAGGACATGGTGGGCAATGGTGTTGGGTCAGGCTGTTTCTTTCACTGTTGCGCTTGCTGGCTTCAATTCTTCCCTCCTCGTTTCTCTGGGTCTGCATTCAATTAACCGGATAAGTTCTCCTTACCGTTCATTCAAGTGTCATATTAATTCTGTTTCTGAAAATGATGGAGCAGGTGTCGATGCTCCAGTAGCTCAGGGATGCTTCAGTTACTTCAGTTTGGCACTGATATACGGTGGCATACTGCTCCACCGACGCCATAAGCTACTGGTAACAGAACATAGCTAGTCAACATAATATATTTTGTGTTTCTTGGCATTAATAGATCTTCGGATTATCTCCTGAACATTGGAATCTGCAGGTTTCTTGGTATTGGTATCTCCTCTTGGGATTTCTGGATGTGCAGGCGAATTTTCTGTGTACGTCACTTTTTTTTTATCAGTTTCTTACATCAAAATGTCCAACTGGGTAGAACCAAGTTCATGAATCTGATGATTACTGCAAACAAGACACTAACGACTTTGGTGCCAATTACTGTGGTGTCAGTGAACAAAGCGTACCAGTTCTCCTCAATTACAAGTATTACATTGCTGGTATGCTGGTCGATACCATGGGTCATTATTCTCACTTGGCTGGTGCTGGGCACCCGCTATTCGATCCTGCAGTTGGTTGGTTCAGCGCTTTGTGTTCTTGGCCTTGTTCTGGTGATCTTATCTGATGCTTGGACGGATAGCGGAGGAGGTAAAACTATTCCTGATGTACCATTTTTCTACCCTTCGTCAGCATTAATGGCGTATCCTAACCCTGCAGGAAGCTCAATGCCTCTTCTTGGTGATGCACTGGTTATTGGTGCAACAATCTTCTTTGCATTGGCCAACGTTGGCGAGGTTATGATGCTCTCCTTTCTTACAAGTGACATGCCACTAGAATTGCAAGATCAACTCCCTTTTTACTTCTCCCTACATTTCAGGAGTTCATTGTGAAAGACGGAGGACAGATTGAGATGGAGATGCTGTCGATGATCAATGTTTTTGGGTTGCTATGCAGTTTGGTTGAGCTGTATCCTTGCAGTAGGAACTGGCCTCGCTTAATTATCCAGGAAATATGGTTCAAATTCGTAGTAAGTGATCTCTTCAGAAGGGGACCTCATAGGGTTCAGACGAAGTTTTCCATGACTACCTTGTTAATTACTGTAGAGCTGTATTTGAGCTGAAGGGTCTAGAATCTTTGAACTGGTCCATTGATATGGTGAGTAACTTATCAATCACATCACAGATGCTATCCTCTTCTATGGACGTTTCGCTCTGATGTATATTTACCTGTTGTTGTTTGCTTTATATGCATTCAGATATGGGCCATCATTGGCTACACCCTCTCAGTCTTTTGCCAATCCTCCATTGGTCTGTACGTTCTCAAGGTACTGAATTTTAATTATGGTCCTCCGTCGTTGTCATAGTGAATGCGAAGCTTTTAGATTGCCAGCCAGGCATGGTGCTCACTAGTTGGGATGATCTGTTTTGTTGTCTTGAACAGTTGAGTGGAGCCACCATGCTGAATCTCTCATGCCTGTCTAGTAACATGTGGGCTGTTGTAATCCGAACTATTTTCTACCATCAGAAGGTCAGTAATGGTGTCATTGTCTACATCGTTCTACCGCCAGTAGGGAGTTAGGTTTGAGCATTTGGTTACAAGCCTTTGAGAACATTGCAGGTGGACTGGCTCTACTTTCTTGCCTTCGCAGTGGTGATTCTTGGATTAGTCATTTACTCCACAAAGTAAGTTTTGATCCGGTTGTTCCCTGCCCTCTATATGGAAAGCTTTTCGTATTGGTTGGGTGATTAACTGGTGACTCGCTGGTTCGACTCTCAACAGTGAGAAAGCTCCAGTTCCTGACCATGATCGAGATGGGGTGAAGTCGTCGAGTTCAGAATGTGAAGGACTACTTGTTGATGAAAACGGAGAAGCAGTTGCTGGACATGCAGGTTCAGTTCCGTGATGTTATGTACAATTGAATGGTCATATGTCTTTTTTTAGTCTTGGACTTGGAGAAAGGGCTCCGTGTCAAATTACTAATTAGGCGGTGAGTGATGAATGAAACTGTGATTCAGCCATAGAGCTGGATTGGGCCGACTGCTTTACTAGTCTGGGCCGAATCATATGGCAAGCCCGTTAGTACTATGTAATATAGTGACCCATTTGTCGGTGTTGACTGCTGAGTAAGCTTGGTTGGACTTGGAATATGGTAGAGGCTTAGTTGTAGCGTGAAACATGCACAAGTAGGTGTACCTCTTTTTGGGGCAACCCATGAAACTGGAAGGAAGAGTAAAGGATCAGCATGGTCCATGCACAGCTCAGTAATCAATCATCATATTCATATGCATAACCGAGAAAATGGTCCCTCCAGTCCTGGCTGGTTAGCCTCAACTCGACGAGTCCCCTACAATAAATGACACCATTCACATTCAGTGGTGGTTCGAGTGAGAAGGCATGTCGGTTGTCATGATGTGTTTTTGGGTTTAATTCATATAGCCGATTGTTACGAGGAAAAAAGTTATTTGTTGACCATCGACATGACTATAAGTTCGAATTGTCTGCTCTCATGAGTTTGTTAGATATTCATATAGGTTGGATGTGTTAACGTTGTTCGTCATACATACACACACAAAAAGATGCTATTATTGACTATGAAAATTTTCATAAACTCCGGATACCATCTCATCGAAAAAGATTCACAATATTTGGAAGGTAGTTACTAAATTCTTATCAAGAAGGATTGTATGAAGTGATCAATGATTAGTAACAGAGTGAAGTGAGCTCTATTATGAACGATAGAGATTCTAACATATTAAAAAAATAAAACCCACAAACGACCCGTTTACTGTATACGTAGAGACCTTTCACTGGTCATTTAGACTCATCTTTACTGTAGTAGCTTGGCGATGAATCTGGTGTGGGAGGGTGCAGGGGACCATCTGGTTCGCCTGGTTGGGCCTGGTCTCCACCCACAAACGACCCGTTTACTGTATACGTAGAGACCTTTCACTGGTCATTTAGACTCATCTTTACTGTAGTAGCTTGGCGATGAATCTGGTGTGGGAGGGTGCAGGGGACCATCTGGTTCGCCTGGTTGGGCCTGGTCTCCATCGAACTGCTGATGGGATCTATTTAGTTGGCCTTTTCACGTTCTTTTTAGACGGTCTTGGTGGAGTTGTGGCGCTCTCACCGTTGGTCACAGGGATCCTTCCATGGGACCGGTTCTTTTTGGGTTTCTTTTAGTTTGGAGGGGGTTGGCCCCTTCCCATTTTGATTGACGTGACCCCATTTTGCTTTGGCTGCAGGAGAGGTTGGAGGGGGTGTGTCAGGAGATATTTTGTTTTTCTTTGGCTGCAGGAGAGGGAGAGACTGATGTAACCCCCATCTTTGCTTTCATTGAAAGGTGGAATGCTTTTTGGCGGTGTGTTGTGACAAGCTCGGTATTTTATGTTTTGTGATCATTACACTGCCCTGAGAGTCGTGAGGGACCTGAGTGCTTGGGTTATGTGCGAGGTGTGGTTTGGAAAGAGAGTGGTTATATTTCCTATTTGTTTGTTTGCCCCCAAACCGACCTCACTTTATCACTCTTTGTTTCAGTTTTTTTGCTTTCCGATTCTCTCTTCTGGTTGTTGTATTCTGCTGCTCTGAAAGTCTCCATGGATTCGACTCTCCTGTGTAATCTCCGAGGCTCCAGCCGGGATGTTACTCTTCGTCTTCGTCTACTCCACATGTGGCTTGCTAAGACGCCAACGGGTTCAAGGGTTTTTAACCATTGCTGTCTATGGGTTGATCAGACGGTGAGGACTCAAAACTTGGTGAAATTGTTTGGTTGGGGTTGTTTCTTTTTCTTCCGCGATGATGATTTCCTTGGGTAGTTGTTTTCCCTCTTCTCATTATTTGCGTTGTAGTTGGTATGATCCTTTTTTGGGATCGATTGTGGTTTGCTTGGGACCTTTCTTTTGTTGCTGGTTGGTTTGTTGATCTGTTTTCTGATGTTCATGGGTCGCATTTTGCCTGCTGCTGTGCTGTGTAGGGAATGCTGATACAATCTTTTGCTGACCCGGAAATGGCTGCGGATACAGAACGTTATCTTCGAGTCGGCACCATTTATGTCCTCAGTCGATTCGGCCTGGTCTCGGCGAAGGGACTTTATAGAGCTTGCTCTTTCGATCTTACCATTAGGGTCACAAGATCCACGGAGTTCCGCCTGTGCACTCTGCCAGCAGCTGGTTTTCCTACTGATTCTTTTGAAGTCATGATATACACCCAGCTGAAAAATAGATGTGGAAATCATGCTGTTCTTACAGGTTCTTTTTAACCATCGGTTACCCTTTTTGTATGTTTTGGTCGTTTGGTGTGCTGGAGATTATTATCGTAACTTATCTTGCGTTTTCTAATGTCATGCATGTTTTGTTCAAAGATGTGATTGGGCGTTTGCATTCAATCAGTGGGATTGGCCATCAGATCACAGAGTCTGGTCCCACACCCAAGCAGATCTTGATTCTTGAGAATGATGTGTATGTGTTTGTTGAGTTTGGGTTATGTTAGTGTGCTCTTGCTCGCCTATGTTTTGTTTGTGGCCTGATTGCAATTCATCGGTCGTTTCTCAGGGGTGGGACAGTTGCAATCACTCTCTGGAGCGAAATGACAAGAATTCTTGATCGTGTTGCTTTGATCCAAGCAGATTTAATTGAACCAGTTATCGTCGCTGTTGGGAGTCTCATGGTTTCTTTGGTTAATGGTGTGGCTCTATTAGTTTGCTGGGTCATTTTTGTTGCGTTTGGTTTTGCTGGGTTCTAATTCTTTGCTTGCTGCAGAGAGTTATGTGTGCTCAAGTTCATCAGCAACTAGGATAGCCGTGAACCCCCAAATTCCAGAAGCACTCCACCTGGCTGCTCAGTCTGCATCTCTTTGGATTTTGCAATCACATTTTACATTTACCAATTGTTTGGGTTGCCCATTTGACACATCCTGCTGCTTTTTGGGTTGTTTTGTCGCCAGCTTTGGAATCGCACGGAATCCTGTGGGTGAGCTTGCTATTGATTTTGGTACAGCTGAGGAGGCAGCGGCAGATGCTCAGGACAGGACCAAGACTATTGGTGACCTGCTGGACCTTTATCATGCAGGAGCATCTGTGGTATGCACTTTGCTTACATATTATTTTGTTGTTGTGGATTTGTATCTTTTGTGTGATGTGTGGGGTTGGTTTTCCGTGTGGATGTTTAGGAAACAAAGTATTGCTGCAGTGGATTTGTTAAGTCAGTCGAGTCTCGAAGTCCATGGTATTATACATCATGTGCTATGTGCACGAGGAAGTGTTCTACATGGAGGGGAACTGGCTATTGGTGTCCTGAACATTGGGAGATTTCTGATCAGCAGATCAGGGTTGGGTATGTTCCTGTTCTATTAGTTATTGTTTGTTGCTTTCTGATACTTTTTCTGTATAAGTGTGTTTCTTCCCAGTGATTGTTGGTATGTTATATATATATATTAATTAATTAATTAATAGTGCATGTTTGTTCTTTGAACAGTTATAAGATTCAATTAACTTTGAAGGACTCAACCGGGGAAGCTCCATTCATTGTTTTCGGTGCTTCTGGGAATGCTTTGACCCATACAACTGCAACACTATTGGCACAGAGGTATCCATATAGCCCTGGTCAGCTCCCGCCAGAACTGAGCGCTTTGGTTGACCAGTACTTGAAGTTTGAAGTGAAGCTACCCATGGTGCCAACCAGTGGGATCTCAAGTGGAGAATTTAGAGTTTTGAGGGTCTTCCCAAATGTTGCTGCCCCAAATGTTGTTGTTGCCCCAAATGTTGCTGCTGGGGTTCAGGTGCTTGCTGAAATTCCACCTGCTTCCACTCCACCTGAAGCAATAGAGGGTGGTAATTCCTCAAAGCAGGCTCGCCTTTCCCAAACCAGTTCTCAGTCGTCATTGGGTGTTTTATTGGGGAGCCAGCAGGTTGCTCCTGGGAGTTCTACTCTGGCATCATCGAGCAGGTTTTCTATCTATCATTATGTCATTGTACATTTAGTATTTGGCCCCGTTCCTATCTACAGATTGTTAATGTTGTGATTTCCTTTGACAGTGCTGCAAAGGGAAAGGCTAAGCTTTTTGAACCTCTCCCCCAAAGTATCAGTCCGGTTTTTCGAATTGGCCAATCTGTACCTGAAATGCCAAGGTGGTTATTTTGAGAACTTTCGATCGTTTCTTTTGTTCATGTGAGCTTTGCTATTAAGCTTGATTTCTTTCTGTTTTACATTTTGCAGTCAAGTTGTGGCTTCTTCTTTGGTTGTCAATACCAATGTAGCTGTCCATCAGGCAACCACCGATTCCGGTGCTCTTCATGGTGATTCGACGGATGTTTCTCAGGCTTATGCATTGCCGCTGGAGCAAGCAGATCATGAAGTGACTCTTGAGGCATCCGGCGGATCAACTACTGAAATGGTTGTGTCTGCTGGTGTTATTGCAACACCTTCTCCAGTGGTGACTAACGAGGGCTCAAATTTGGTCAACCCATCTCAGCTGGTGAATTTAGGTTCCTTGGATTCTCCTGCTGGGAATAAGGAGAGTCCGCAGAGTTCCTCTCCATCAACTAAACTGTGAGCTATTCAGCTTCTTTCCTATCTAGGTTTATGTTCCAAGCAAGTTTTTGTATGTTGCTAATTTGTGTTTTTTGTGTTAGTCTGAACTCTCCTTTGGCAAAGATTAAGCTGGAGAAGCTGGATGATAAGCCATCAAAGGATAATGAGGGTGATTCTCAGGGTTCTGCTCCATTTACCATTGGAGATTCGGGCACTGGAGTGAGGACGAGCAAACGCACACCTGTCAAGCGTCGCCTTTATGATGCATAGAATGTCCTCTCCAAGCCTTCAACAATACTTTTGCGGAATCAACGGTCAGTTTTGGTGACATGATCATAATTGCTTACAAAAAATAAAGTCCATAGTCTGCTCTAATATGGTATTGTTTTTGTACTATGTTCTGCAGGTTGGTTTCGATGTGTTTCATGATTGGAATCTTGCTGCTTGGAGTTTATGGTGTGTTTGATGTACATATTAGTTGTCGGTAATGTTGTCCAGGAGTAGTTCTACTTCCAACTTTATGAAGTTGGTGTCTTTTGTTGGGGATATCTACCCTTATTTTGTAGAAAGCAGCTATGTGGTTGATGGTTGCCACTAATGTAATCCTCTTATGGTTGTTGTTGGTAGGCTTTTGTAGGAGTTTCTGGGTATTATGCTTTTATATATGTGTGTTATCTTATGGACAAGTATCAGGGGTATTATGAACAAATGGTTCTGTATGTACTGCTATGAATCCATGTCTGGATTATGTAAGTATATATATGATGAAATGCTTTTGCTGTAACTAGACCTCTGAATTTTTACTCAATCTCTCATGCGTTCCAAAATATTGAACTCCCATTGTTAACAAACACATGGATTGTGGTTAATTTATTTAGTCTAACAAGTAAAGCTCTTCTTGCTGCACAAACTATGTACAGCAATTCCACCTGCCTTTTACAGGTTCGATGTTTTCAATTGGTTCACAGGTCATGTGACTGAAAATTCATGTATTAACATTACTATTGATTTATCTCATAGCTCCTATGTTGTTCATGTAATCTTACACTAATTCCATAAATTGAAACATGCATGAACCTAATTAATTTAAATGGACAGCTGTCAGTTTTTGTTTAGATAAACTACAGCCGGCTTCTTTCATTTCTTATGTCAGCCATCAACACTCAGAAATGCATTTAATGCAATCTCATTCTTTGAGGTTTATTATGGGCCACCGTAATGATTGCTTTGTGTAATTGAGCATGCTTTATGTACTATTCATATCACTACTATTGCCAGAGCTTCATCAGTTATAAGCTTGGTGATCATAACTACTTAGCAAAACTATCTTTTGCAGTCGTGACTGCAAACTCTTCAGCATTCATTTGTTCACTGTCTTATTCACTGAACTTATACGCCTCTTGACTCTGCATTTATTTGCTGGTTGGTTGAAGAACACAGGTTAGTAAGATAGTTCCTAATGATTTGGCTGCTCAATACGCATTTATGGATTTTGTCTGTTGTTCTCATTAATTGGATGGCTGTTTGTGTATGCAATGAATGCAGATAATGGCTCCCAAGAGACAAAGACCAAAAACTCATGTCTTACTAAAACACAAGAGGACAAGACCATCAGTTATTCCAGTTGCTCCAGATAATGCATCTGCCTCTTTTCCAGCTATGGAACTTGATAATACAAGAATAACCAGGAGATCACATCAGCTTCCATTTGTTCTTTCTGGTGCCGGAGAGGAATTTACAGGTCAACACAAAGGCTCTAAATCTATTCCAGATTCCTATCAGGCAAGCTCAAATAATCCAAGGCCATCTAATTATTATTCTGTTGATCATAAGAATGATAAAGTTGTGTCAGCACGCAGACCTTTGTGCAATGATATATTGAATATAGGGAAACCAGAATGCACATGTCAATACTGTGGAGCCATGTTTTGGTATCATGAAAGGCTTGATCGTCAACGAAACACATCTAATCCGGTTTATGTGTTGTGCTGCCAAAAAGGGAAAGTTAGTGTTCCTTTTTTGCAGCAGCCTCCTCCATTGCTTGCACAATTGTTGGATCTTAATGGAGGACCGATGTCTAAGCATTTTAGGGATAACATACGGCCATATAATGGATCACTGTGTTTTACCTCTTTTGGAGCTAAACTAGATCCTCGGTCTCTATCAAGTAGGGGTCCATACTCAATGGTTATTTGTGGCGAGAATTATCACAGAATTGGTTCATTGCTTCCAGTGGATGGGGAGAAGCCTAAATTTGCTCAGTTATATATATTTGAGCCAGAAAATGAACTGGATCACAGGCTGGCCAATTTTGCATCTCGAGAGACGATGTTGTTGCCCGAGCTGCTGGCTTCATTACTGAGGATGCTTGATGAAACGAATGTATTGGTCAAGACCTTTAGGCGAATTAGACAGGACCTGCAGCATTCATCCACTCCAAATCTCCGGCTTAGGATTTTTGGGATGGAAAGCAGAAATCGACAATATGATCTGCCTACAAGTAGTGACGTGGCTGCTCTGATTCCAGGAGATTTCATTCCAGATAGAAAAGACAGAGATATCATAGTAGACCATAGAGATGAAGGACTCAAGAGAATTTCAAGTGTTAACCCCAAATTTGAAGCGCTTCATTTTCCATTGTTATTCCCATATGGAGAAGATGGATATCATCCCTTGATACCGTATGATCATAGGTACTGTTCAGTTTCAGCTAAACGGAGGTTTGTTACTCAGCGGGAGTATTATGCATTTCGACTGCAATATCGCATGAATGAAGGACACACGCTGGTCAAGAGTGGGAAGGCTCTTCAACATTACTGCGTCGATGCATTCTCAACAATTGAACTAAATCGACTTGCCTTTTTACGAAGCAATCAAAAGGAGCTTAGGGCTGAAGTTTATCAGGGTTTGCAAGATGCATTCTCTAGGGGTGACATGGATGCTGATAAGTTAGGACATGTCATCATACCTTCTTCGTACACTGGTGGTCCGCGGTACATGCAGCAACTATACTATGATGCAATGGCAATATGTCAGTTCTTTGGAAATCCCGATTTATTCATTACATTCACATGTAATTCACTATGGGAAGAAATAACTTCAGCTTTTGAAGAAATAGTTGGTCTGCGTGCTGAGTACAAACCTATGGTGGTCTGCCGAGTGTTCCATGTCAAGCTGAACATGCTGATTGATGAAATCCGAAGAAAAAATTACTTTGGCAGGACTTTAGCAAGTAAGTTCTCACATGTTGTTTATTAGTGACCTGATTATACTTCATATGTTAGTTTTATAGTGCCATAATGAATGACAAATAATCTATATATTAACAATGGGATGCATGTGGACAGTGAATCATCAGACTTTGCAGTTGCTGTTTGAGAAACAATTTCTTGGGAAATAAGATTGATTCACGCATTCCTTTTATAATTGCAGTCATGTATACTATCGAATTTCAAAAAAGAGGACTTCCTCATGTCCATCTGCTTATATGGCTTGCTGAGCCAGACAAAATCAAAACTGTGGCTGATATAGATGAGACTGTCTCGGCGGAAATTCCTGATCCACATCTTGATCCTGTTGGATATGAAGCAGTCGTCAAGTTTATGCTCCATGGACCATGTGGGAGTGCAAACTCAACAGCACCTTGCATGAAAGATGGGAAGTGTTCTAAATTCTTTCCAAAAGAATTCAATTCAGAGACATCGTTTGATAAATTTGGAAATGCCATTTACAGACGTCGAGATACTGGAATTCAGGTGGCAAAGGGTGATGCAATTCTTGATAACAGACATGTAGTTCCTTACAATAGGAATTTGTTGGTTCTGTTGCAGGCACACATAAATGTTGAGATATGCCATAGAGGAGCTCTTATTAAATATCTTTTCAAATACTTAACCAAGGGACCAGATAGATCCTTGGTGGTTGCTGAAGAGTCTGTTGCTTCTAGACCGACATCCTCAACAGATGTGGCAAGGAATAGGGATGAAATACAGGAGTATATTGACTGTCGATCCTTATCTTCCTATGAAGCAATATGGCGAATATACGAGTATGAAATACATCATAGAGAGCCTGCAGTTGTTCGACTTGCCGTGCATTTAGCAGGTCAGCAAAAAGTTCCATATAAAAAGCAATCAAGTGTTCGCAATGTCCTTAGGAACCCAAAAGCTGGAAAGACACACCTCACACAGTGGTTTGCTTTGAATAGAAGAGATCCAGAAGCAAGGAAGCTAACTTATGCACAAATACCGAATGCATACACATGGAGTGCAGATGAAAATGAGTGGACTGTTCGTAAGAAAGGATTTGCTGTCGGCAGAATTGCATATGTTCCTCCTGGAAGTGGCGATGTCTTTTTTTTAAGACTCATGCTGACAAAAGTTCCTGGGGCAAGAAGTTACATTGCTTTGAGAACTATCAATGGAGAAATCTGCCCAAGTTATGAAAAAGCATGTGAAAAGTTGGGACTTTTATCCGACTCTTCAGAATGGATTCGAGTTCTACAGGAAATCTCTGCTTCTAGCATGCCAAATTTAATAAGAAGTACATTTGTGTGTATGTTGATGTTTTGTGAGATACCAAGTCCTCTGGAATTGTTTGAATCAAGCTGGAGATTCATGGCTGAAGATCATTCTCACTCTCTTAGAAAACAACTTCATTCATCAACTTTTCAGCCCTCTGAGGAAAGACTGCGTAATTGGGTTCTCCATCAACTAGAAGCTTTGCTGGGATCCTATTCATCATCACTTGAACAATTTAACCTGCCAAAACCAACAGACTCGGCTGCAGATGATGGAACAAATTCATTACTCAATGACCATTTGAATTTTAATGTGCTGCAGCAACAAGAGCTATCAGATTCGCTGCTACGATCATTAAACCCAGGTCAGTTTGAAGCCTACTCAGCAATTATGCTTTCAATTCATGCAAATTTGGGGCAATCTTTCTTTTTGTATGGCCACGGAGGTACTGGAAAGACTTTCCTATATAATACCATCATTGCAAAGCTGAGAAGCATCTCGAAAGTTGTGATTGTTGTAGCTTCATCAGGAATTGCAGCTACTCTTCTGCCAAATGCTACAACAGCTCATTCGAGATTCAAAATCCCACTTCATTTGGACAACACATCAACTTGCTCAGTTAAAAAAGGAACCCACCTAGCTGAACTGATACAGAAAGCAGCACTGATTGTATGGGATGAAGCACCGATGACGCATAGGCAAGCATTTGAGGCTGTGAATAGAACCATGTGTGATTTGATGAATATACCTTTGGTGGGATCAGGGCATAAGCTGTTTGGGGGGAAAACCGTGTTGTTTGGGGGGGATTTTAGGCAAACTCTGCCTGTCATTCCAGATTCTGGTCGAGAGCAAACAGTTGATGCCTCACTAACAAGAGCTGGCATATGGAATTCATTCACTCTTCTCAGACTGTCAAGGAACATGAGGGTCAACAACTCATTAGTAAATGAATCAATTATTGCTCATGGATACGCATTTGGGGAATGGGTTCTTGCACTTGGTGATGGAAGACTCCCAGGAAAACGTTTCAAAGATGACACACCTGCTGACTGGATTGAAATTCCTGATACATTTTTGGTGCAGCCCAAAGTCAATCCAATCACCTCCATTGCAGAAGAGATTTATGAGAACTTTGCTGATTGCTACAGGAGCACAGAATACCTCACCTGCAGAGCTATTGTCACCCCAAAAAATGTCAAGGTCAGTGAAATAAATGACTATATGCTTCAGCAAGTACCAGGGCTGGCTCGGTCTTATTATAGCTCAGATTCTATGCAGCGTGATACAGAGATACCAGAGAACTTTGGTGAAACTTATCCAATCGAATTTTTAAATGCATTGACATTCAATGGTGTACCAGATCATGAGTTAAAGCTGAAAATTCACACCCCTGTCATGTTGCTTAGAAATTTAAGTACATCTGCTGGATTATGCAACGGAACAAGGATTATGATTACTGAATTGGGTGACAACATTATCAAGGGGGTTATTATGGGTGGCACTTTTGACAAAGATGTTGTTATTATACCAAGAATTGTATTGAATGTGGAAGACAAGAGATGGCCATTTATACTTAAGAGGCGTCAGTTTCCCATACGTCTTTGTTATGCAATGACGATAAACAAGAGTCAAGGCCAAACACTTGCGAAGGTTGGGGTTTATTTGCCAGAACCTGTGTTTAGTCATGGCCAGTTATATGTGGCTGTTTCTAGAGTCAAATCAGCTGATGGTCTACGATTTTTGATATCTAATATCGATGGCATTCCAGACAACTACACCAGGAACATTGTGTTTGCAGAAGCTTTTGAGGACATCAACACAGACAGAGCTATCGTTTCAAGAAAATAGCAGTGCATTATCTTACAATGCAGGTATGACTGACTTTGTTGTTTCTTTATATAACAGTGTTGTATTAACTCTTTTGTTGCAATATAGCACCTGAATTCTACTCATTTACAGCATATGTATTGTTTACCTGAAATACATGCATGAAAATACAAATACCATATAGCTATGACATTCCTCTGTGAAACCATGCCCATATCAAATGGTGTGATCCTTCATTCAGCACAAGCATTTTCAATTGCCTAATTTCCTCCTTTTTGTTATGTTTGTTTTAGTTTGGTTTCTTCTTTGGCATAAATGGAAGCAGAAGATGGAATGGTGTAACAGTTATGATCCTGAACACATTTTTGTAGCCTTCTGTCTATTTTCCAATGGCAGCTGTAGAAGAAATTCAACAACCGCCAAAACACTGTTCATGACCATAGTTGCGGTACAACAGAAGGTCCATTGTCTCAGTTCAATGATTCCATGTATTCAAGGGTTTAAACTCTGACTATTGCTCATGTATGTGTTGGCCACCTTGGATCCTTCAAATAATATGGTTTCGGCTACTTCTGGTGATCTCACGGATAAGGAAGTGCCTCTTTTCTTGCTGCCTGGGTCAATGCTTATGTTTACTTTTGTTGCACCTGTAAAACCATAATATTAACTACTTAATTACAATCAACTCACATTCATCACGAGTATTGTTACTACATATATATCTTTATCAAATAAATGAAAACGTCTGATGTCCAATGATCACAAAATTCATATTAGAAATTTCAATATAGATAGTAGCAATAGACATATGGACTATTATATGGTAGTTAATCGGGAAAAATGCAGATTCGGTTTTCCACCATCAATGATTCACAATGGAACACCTGTCCCGGCGCGGAGCGCGGGCAACGAATACTAGTATATATATAATAGTTAAATGATGAGTAGGCGATGTACCGACATGTAGTGGAAGAGAACTTACCATTAACGTTGCTTTGGGTATTGTTGGAGATGGCTTGAAGGAAGCACAAGGCCCAGTTGTGTGTCAGTACTCATCATCAGATCAGTAGTGGATCGATCACATTAATTCCAACACGTACGTACGTGCGTGTGTTCCTCACCACATGGTTTTGCAATCATACAATCTGATTATTCAATTCAAGAACAAGGCAACCCGCAATGGACATCTTTCTTCACCAGCCATTAGCCATAGCAAATGGCAACTGAAACAGAGGGGAATTATTTGCCCACTCCACAGCAATGAATGTTTTGGTGTGGATGACAGCAATAATATATCCCTTGCTGGAGTGGAAATCCTTCTTTCTCCTCCGATCCCCCGCCTTCTATTCTTTTTGCCCTTTAATTTGTGTGTTGTTTCTGGTTTCCCATGTTACTTTGTTGCTTTGGTGGGTATGATGGTATTTCATTATAACCAAAGACAAAACTGGTGGCTAGATTGGGTAGAGCGATTTGTTTGTCCTTATGATGTGGGTATGTAATGAAGGACATGCCAAGCTGTTGTTGCTTCTTATGGCATAAAGGCGACACCCATTTCACTCAAAAAGTGGGTGCAGCCTGTAAAAATGTAAATCTCGATCCGTAAATGATTACTGCCTTAGTGAGGGTAGCAGATGATTTTTTTTTCTTTTTTCTTTTGATAATTAGTGGCAGATGATTTAATACACATAGTTGGTCGAAATGATGATAGTGAGACATGAACAAAGAATTTCGGTTTTATATTTGACATTGAGTCAATATATATATTATGCTCTCAAATCAATCCACACCTATATTGATTCAGGTCTAATTATTTTATTATACTTAAAAACCATATAACTATATATACATGTAAACATGTTATAGTTTACGTTAGTTCGGAAATGAGTTTTCACATATCCATCTTGCAATAATTAATGCAAGATGAAATATATAAAGAAAATATGGTGCAACGAACAGCCATGTTAATCAAATCCTATCCTTTTCTTCTTCTTGGTCCTTAATTTGGTGAATGATTCGAGACAAAACTATGTCATGAGTAGTTGTACCTCGTCATTCAAACACCACCAATATGCACTAGGAATGGGAATAGGGTTAACTCAAGATAGATTGATGGACAGACAAGTGTCGAGGTTACATAACCTTGGGAAATAAGTAAAACCTATGTTGGAAAAGGTGTGCTGTCTATTTATATTAGTTCCAAACAAGGCAACCTGAGCTAGCTTCTTGTCTCATGGCAATTCCATTCTTCCCTGCTTCTTAAAGGACCTAATCATACATTAAGGCTTCTTGAGCATCTCATTGACTGAAGATAGAACAGCTTAATTGAGGAACCCACTCGACTTAAACCAAATGATTAGCGACTTAAACCTGTAATTAAGTTATATTAGTGGAGGGGACATATATTATTAGGATGGTACTGCATCACATCCATATTGCATCATATTATTCCTTTTCCTAACTTACCAACCCCCCAATCCATTTTCCTTATTAGACCCCCTTTTTTGTGCCTGTAATTTGATTGAATTAAAAATAAGGTTGTGACTACATATTTCTAGCTAATGTAAGGGGAAGAATTCTAAATTTCTAATACCTAATAGCATGTATCCAGTAGTTTTAGTGAAACTTACAGTTAGGTCCCCCTATACGTGGATTTTGTTTACAATTGAGAACTTATACATTTCGATCAATGTCTACTGTATATCTTTCTGCGATGGAGCTACATGGTTAAGAGAGTAGGTAATTAAGAAGAGGCTACGATTCCCCTTCCCCTTAATATTTGTTCTGAGACTACTGTGTTTTGTGTTAATTTGTTGAGAAAACATTGGAAAGTGGCAGAATAAGGGCTATTAGCCCCTCTTCCTATGAAATGAATGGGGATTATCACTTGGGTTGACTTGGGGAGTAGGTGTAAGTAAATGTAGGAACTAGGAACCAAATTGGTAATTCCACTAAAAATCAAGGGCCTAGGAGGAATGTTACTTAGGAATAATGAGGCCAAGAACAACAAGCAAGGTTGTCAACCCGCGGGTTGACCCAATTTGACCCTGACCCGGTGAGAAAAACGGGCCGCACGCATCCGCCGGGCCAACCATTATAAGGTACCGGGTTGGAGGTCAAATTGTATAATTTTTTTCTTTAGTTTGCGAAATGCGCCTATTTTCCAATTTTTCTTTTCGCCTAACTCAATCTTTGGAATACTAAGTTGAACATTTGAATATTTATGTTATATAAGTGTGTGTGAATTTTCACTATATGTTGGATATAAGTACGATATGTTATTTTGGTGTAATATTATTTGTTATAACTCATATGTTAGATAAGATTTGATATAATTTATGAGGATAAGTACAATATAATGACTCTTTCTATTAGGGGTGGGCATTGGGTGGGTCGGGTGGATTTTGACCATAAAATGCACCCACCCGCGCTTAAACGGATTGATAATTTTTAACCCACCACCCACCCACATTTAGTCTCGGGTTGGGTCGGGCGGATGGTGGATGATGCGGGTGGGTTTGTGGGTTCACCCACATTACAATATATATAATATAAAGGAGTCAACTTGACATGATAATAGGTGAAGAGAATCATCGAGGGAAACAAGAAGTTGAAATAGGGCGAAAAATGTCGAATTAGTTCTTAAATTGGATAGAAATTCTATTATGAAAGAGTTTTCTACAGATTGAGACGATTATTAGGTGCAAGGAACTAAGGAAAATAATTCCACAAAGGAAAGAGCGGTGATCTAGGCACAAGAATTAGAGGAAAAAGTAAAGGGAAGAAGAGGGAATCTCTATTTGGAAGGTTGGCTTTGAGGTTCAAACTCCAGGAGCAGTCCGAGTTTATATCTAACGTCTCCACTCTCCTCTCTCTAGCGCCAACGACTTTGATCTTTTTGTTGTCGGGTTGAGCGGGTCACCCGCACACTCACCCACAATCCACCCACCACCCGGCGGATGGCTCCCAGCACAACCCGTCATCCACCCACAGACCCACCCACTTAACGAAATTCGGGTCAAATGCGGGTGGGTCGGTCCAAACCCGCGGATGATCCGCCCGTATGCCCAGCCCTACTTTCTATATATCCGGGCCAAACCGGGCTAAAACGGTTGACCCATTAACCCTTGACCCACTAGCTCGACCGGGTCCGGGTCAACCCGCGGGTTGACAACCTTGACAACAAGTAAAACAAAGTGGGATTGGGAGACTTGATATTATTATTATTATTATTATTATTATTATTCTCTTCATCGCATTTTGGCTTCTCGAGAACACTCATAGACCATACACACACAACAAATTTGATTCCCAGAAATAAATGTGGGGAACTTCATATGCCATCTACTTTGAAAAAGACAATAAAGCTAATTCCTTTTGGCTAAATGTGCAGTTAACAAACACTAAAATTGGACATTTATGCTTTTGTCTCTTTTTAATTCCTCTTTTGTATGTAATGATACATGTGTTATGACAAATGGTATTATCGGACTTTCTGATTTTTGACCAATTATATAATTGAATAGTATCTTTTATAAATTTGGCGGACAATTATCAAAATCGTCATTAACTAATACATAATTTCGGATTCAAATTTATAATATAAAGATCAGTAGTGGCCAGTGGGACTTCAATATTACTTATGTATATTAGTCATTTTATGAATTTGGTTAGATGGGGAAGATTCCTTTCTTCTTCTCTTGAACTTACCTTTGGGTTCTTGTTGTGTGGATTAGGATAAAAGTATTAGTTGGAACAAAAAAACAACCAGTTAGTGGCAAACATTGTGATGACGATGGTATAAGAGAAACAATTAATGCATAGATTGACAATGATTCGCCTTTCCAAAAATAATCAAAGGAGTTCATGCTCATGTTCTTGGAATAAACATGTAAGAGATGACTGAACGTGTAGTTGATTATGTAGGTTGATTAGCTACAAAAATAATTATCTTTTATGAAAATACTATATTACATAATAATCATCAATATAAGCGAGTTTACATAAATTACTCATGAAGGCAG